TGGAAAAGACAGGATATCTGGGGTCTAAAGATTTAACAAATTTTCTTTTTTTTTTCCTATTTACTCTGTTTCACCAAGTCTAGAAATGCCATCAATGATTAAGCACATCATTTTATGTACCATTAAGAAGAAAAACACTTCTAGTTATAATTATAGGATGTGTCCCAATTTCAGAGATTTAAAAATTTGAACTCCTGGATGCAAAGAAAAATAGCATTTTTAAAATTGTGAAATAAAAGCAATAGCATGAGAAAAAAATTGCCATAGTCTTATCTACCTAAAGAAAACCACTTTTACTAACATTTGAATTTTTTTCTATATTTTTAGTTATGGACCTTTGCTGTTGTTGTCACCCAGTCGTGTCCGAGTCTCTGCAACCCCTTGGACTGCAGCATGCCAGGCCTCCCTGTCCCTCATCATCTCCCAGAGTTTGCCCAAGTTCAAGTTTATTGCATCAGTAATGCTGTCCAGCCATCTTATACTCTGACACCCTCTTATCCTTCTGCCCTCAATCTTTCCCAGCAACAGGGACTTTTCCAATGAGTTGTCTGTTCAAATCAGATGACCAACATACTGGAGCTTCAGCTTCAGCATCAGCATCAGTCCTTCCAGTGAATATTCAGGGTTGACCTCCCTTAAGATTGACTGGTTTAATCTCCTTGCTGTCCAAGGAACTTTCAGGAGTCTTCTCCAGCACCACAGTTTGAAGGCATCAATTCTTTGGCGTCCAGCCTTCTTTGTCCAGCTCTTATAACCATACGTAACCACTGGGAAGACCATAGCCTTGACTATATGGATCTTTGTCAGCAGAGTAATGTCTCTGCTTTTCAACACACTGTCTAGGTTTGTCATCGCTTTCCTGCCAAGAAACAAAGCCTTCTGATTTCATGGTTGCAGTCACCTTCCGCAGTGATTTTGGAGTCCAATAAGTGGAAATCTGTCACTGCTTCCACCTTTTCCCCTTCTATTTGCCATGCAGTAATGGGGCCAGATGCCATGACCTTAGTTGCTTTACTATTTAGACCTAAGCTGGCTCTTTCACTCTTCTCCTTCACCCTCATCAAGAGGCTCTTTAGTTCCTCTTTGCTTTCTGCCATTAGAGTGGAATCATCCACATATCTGAGGTTGTTGATGTTTGTCCCACCTATCTTGATTCCATCTTATAACTCATTCAGCCCAGCATTTCTCATGGTGTGCTCAGCGTATAGGTTAAACATACAGGGTGACAGCAGACAGCCCTGTCGTACTACTTTCTGGATCTTGAACCAATCAGTTGTTCCACACAGGGTTCTAACTGTTGCTTCTTGGCCCGCACATGGATCTTACAGATAGCATATTTAAAGCCTTTATGTACTAAATATACTAATTTGTAAATATTTGTAAATATATATATTTATGCACTATACCCCTACCTGCCTCCTGAGAAACCTGTATGCCAGTCAAGAAGCAACAGTTAGAACCAGACACGGAACAACAGACTGGTTCAAATTTGGGAAAAGAGTACATCAAGGCTGTATATTGTCACCCTGCTTATTTAACTTATATTCAAAGTACACCATGCAAAATGCAGGGCTAGATTAATCACAAGCTGGAATCAAGGTTGCTGGGAGAAATAGCAACAACCTCAGATAGCAGATGATATCATTCTAATGGCAGAAAGCAAACAGGCACTAAAGAGCCTCTTTATGAAGGTGAAAGAGGAGAGTGAAAAAACTGGCTTAAAATTCAACATTCAAAAAACAAAGATCATAGCATTCAGTCCCATCACTTCATGACAAATAGATGGGGAAAAAGTGGAAACAGGGGCAGATTTTATTTTCTTGGGCTCCAAAATAACCGTGGATGGTGACTGTAGCCACAAAATTAAAAGACACTTGCTCCTTGGAGGAAAAGCTTTGACAAAACTAGATAGTATGGTAAAAACAAAGACATCACTTTGTCCCCCAAAGTCCATATAATCAAAGCTATGGTTTTTCCATAAGGAGGAGAAGGGGACGACAGAGGATGAGATGGTTGGATGGCATCACGGACTTGATGGACATGAGTTTGTGCAAGCTCCAGGAACTGGTGATGGACAGGGATGCCTGGCGTGCTGCCGTCCATTGGGTCGCAAAGAGCTGGACACGATTGAGCAACTGAACTGAACTGAACTGATGGTTTTTCCAGTAGTCATGTATGGATGTAAGAGTTGGACCATAAAAAAGGCTGAGGGCTGAAGAATTGATGCTTTTGAACTGTGGTGCTGGAGGGCTCTTGAGAGTCCCATAGTCAGCAAGGAGATCAGACCAGTCCATCCTAAAGGAAATTAACCCTGAATAGTCATTGGAAGGACTGTTACTGAAGCTGAAGCTCCAATACTTTGGCTACCTGATGTAAAGAGCTGACTCATTGGAAAAGACCCGTATGCTGGGAAAGATTGAGGGCAAGAGGAGAAGGGGGCAACAGAGGATGAGATGGTTGGATGGCATCACTGACTAGATGGACATGAGATAGTAAAGGACAGGGAAGCCTGGCATGCTACAGTTCATGGGATTGCAAAGAGTTGGACAGGACTTAACAACCGAACAACATTTCTAAATATTTATATTTGTATTTTTATTATACAATCTACAGCCCCAAACCTTCCTTCACACTATCCCCACAGCCCCCATGCTCCTCCCCTAAGGAAACAATTGTCAGCACTTGGGTGTGCATCCCTCCCATCTTATACATGTTATACACATACACAAGTACACACAGAACTTAGAGTTTTACCAGGCAGATACTTTAACACTGAGCCACCTGGGGAATTAGCAGCACTGTAATGACGTTTATGGGATTATAATGAGTTAGTACAAATACTTCCACCTCACTTTCCTTCATAGCTTCATAGCATTCTGTTATGTACCACTGTTTTGATTGGCTAATTTTCACATTTTATTTTGAAGCCCAAGAAAAGAAAATCTGTCATTGTTTCCACTTTTCCCCCATCTATTCGTCACGAAGTGATGGGACATTTATAATACTTTATTTCTGTTTATTTTTTTCCGCCGGGCTTCACTGGCATGTGGATCTTAGTTTCCTGGGATGGAACCCTCGGCCCCTGCAATGGAAGCACAGAGTCTTTGCCATTGGACCGCCAGGGAGCTCCCTGTAATACTTTATTTCTTAAGCTGGGTGGTAGTCGTAAGTTTTTCTTAGATTGGTATGTAGGTATGAAATATTTCATATTAAAATTTTTTTGAAAAGATCAAATGAGATGAAGAGTGAATTGTTTGCCTATAGACTCCAAGGGCTTTCCAGGTGGTGCCAAGTGATAAAGAATCTGCCTGCCAATGCATCTCAATGCATGAGATGCAAGAGACTCAAGTTGGATCCTTGGGTTAGGAAGATCCCCTGGAGGAGGAAATGGTAGCAACCGACTCCAGTATTCTTGCCTGGGAAACCCCATGGACAGAGGAGCTGGGCGGGCTACAGTCCATGTAAAGGCAGACAGTATGGCATGACTGAGCGCCAGCGCACAGGCTAGACTAGACTCTAAGCATCCTTCCCTGATGAGTTTTGTGTGATTTGGGTTTGGAGACACAGAGAATTCAGAAGGAAGGATCCTGGAGCCACCCAAATAGTCTGGCTTCTTCCTATCATTCAGATCTTTGTTCAAATATCCCTGAGGGAAGCCTTCCTTAATACCCATTTCAGATCACAAGCCCATTCAACTCTTTAACAAACAGCACTATTTTACTGCAAGAGGCTTATCACTCTGGGCTGTTTTAGTAAGTGCCCTACTAGAATACTCTGTCTTGGTCAACCCTGTATTTCCAAAGCCAGTTTAAATCCTCAATTATTTTTTTTTGTTTGGGGATGGCTGGATGAATAAGCCAGTGAATGAATGGGGAGACCTTCCCTCCAACCTCAGGACACCTCTTTGGAGCCAGACCAGAGGGCAGAGATAGAATGAGGAAAGCCTGAGGGGAAGAGCGAAGATTAGGGTGGGTTGAGGATAAAAGTGAAAGGGGAGAGTGAAAAAGTTGGCTTAAAACTCAACATTTAGAAAACTAAGATCATGGCATCTGGTCCCATCACTTCATGGCAAATAGATGGGGAAACAGTGACAGACTTTATTTTGGGGGGCTCCAAAATCACTGCAGATGGTGACTGCAGCCATGAAATTAAAAGATGCTTGCTCCTTGGAAGAAAAGTTATGACCAACCTAGACAGCATATTAAAAAGCAGAGACATTACTTTGCCAACAAATGTCTGTTTAGTCAAAGCTATGGTTTTTCCAGTAGTCATGTATGGATGTGAGAGTCGGACTATAAAAAATGCTGAGAGCCAAAGAATTGATGTTTTTGAACTGTGGGGTTGGAGAAGACTCTTGAGAGTCCCTTAAACTGCAAGGAGATCCAACCAGTCCATCCTAAAGGAAATCAGTCCTGAATATTCATTGGAAAGACTGATGCTGAAGCTGAAACTCCAATCCTTTGGCCACCTGATGCGAAGAACTGACTCATTTGAAAAGACCCTGATACTAGGAAAGATTGATGGCAGGAGGAAAAGGGGACGACAGAGGATGAGATGGTTGGATGGCATCACCGATTCAATGGACATGAGTTTGAGTAAACTCCGGGAGTTGGTGATAGACAGGGAGGCCTGGCGTGCTGCAGTCCATGGGGTCGCGGAGTCGGACACGTCTGAGCGACTGAACTGAACTGAACTGAGGAGGCGGAGGATGAAGATCTGGATGACAGACAGGAGACAGGACTCGAGGGTGGGGCGCCTGGGGCGAAAGTGAGTGGAGAGACAGGAAGTCCGGGAGTGCGGGTCAGGGAGTAGGTGTCTCCAGGGCGGGGGGGCGGCTCCTGGAGGAGGAAGGGTGTTTTCAGGGCGGGGGACGGGGCCTGAAGGGTGGGGCCTGCGAGCGGTGGTGGGTCGGGAAGAGGGGCGTGGCCTGTGTAAGGGGCGGGGCCTACGGGCTGGGAGCTGGGTTCCGCGCTCCGAGGCGGCGGCGGCTGCGACGGAAAATGGCTGCTACAGAGGCTGCGGACACTCAGCTGATGCTCGGAGTCGGGCTCATCGGTGAGGACACAGGCGCCCTGCCCCGCAGGCCCGTACCCATTTCCGTCTCCGCCTGGGCCCCGGGCGACCCCTGCTCCCGCGCCCCGCAGCACCGCCAGCGGTGGGGAGGGAGCGGCCCCCTCCAAGTTGGGCCTGGGCTAGGGGCTGTGGGCCCGACCTCTTCGGCGCAGGGGCCGGGCTTGCAGCCCTGGACCCGTGCGCCCGCGTCCTTGTTTGGGGGCCTGCCCGGGCTGAGAGGCAAGGCGGGGGGACCCCGGAGACCTCCAGGATTCTATGAGGGGAGTCCTCCTGGACGCTCCGGGCTGCAGACGAGCCTGGATGTGAAGGCTGACCGAGCTGCTCAGGCGAGGCCCCGGTGAGGCCGAGGGCAGCTTGCAGGCCGCACGTATGTGAGGCTGCAGGGCCGGGGTTCCTCTGAGCGAGGCAGAAGACGGGCGCTAGCCCGGCGCCCGGCTGGCCCCGGTCATGTGATCGAGCTGGTTCCAGACGCGACGGCCTGCTACAGGCCCGGGGTGCTGCGCGTTCTGCATCGATTGTTTCCCGTCTGACTCTCACCTCGGCTCCAGGGGGTCTGGCTAATGTTTGATGCCCACTTCACGGAGTAGATGGAGGCCCAGGGTTTCATTTCTGCAAGAAGGCACACTAGGAAGTGGTGGACCCAGGATGGGGACCCTTGCAGTCCAGCCCCAGAGCCCCACCTCATACCAGGGGAGAATGCCTGCATCCGAAGAGGGAGGTCGTGCATGTAACATGTAATATCATCATAGTGGGTGGAATCCCAGTTTCTTTTGAGTAAATCAATGGATAAGGAAGTGCGTTGGGATCTTCGAGCTGCAGGAAATGCATGCCTGAGACTTGTGCAATGGTTTTGAAGCAACGTCCAGCCGACAGCGACAGTGAGCACGGGGTTGGTTTAGGGGAATGTCTGTCGGTTCCCTGCATGCCATTGTACTTTGAAAAAATATTCTCCAGAGATTTTCATATATGCCTAAACCCTAGTGCACAAGCATATTGCTTGGATTTAGCAAAACTGGTGGAAATGTGGCTAAATGTTGCTGATTATTTTCACCGTCTCAAAGGAGTGCATTTATCTGGGAACAGATTCTGTGTTCATTTCTAATGTGATTTTAAAACTGGTTCAAAACAAAACCTAAGTACCTAAGACATCTTCCACTCCAGTGTTCTTGGGCTTCCCTTGTGGCTCAGCTGGCAAAGAATCAGCCCGCCATGCGGAAGACCCGGGTTCGATGCCTGGGTTGGGAAGATCCCCTGGAGAAGGGAAAGGCTACCCACTCCAGTATTCTGGCCTGGAGAATTCCATGGACTGTAGTCCATGGAGTCGCAAAGAGTCGCCCACGACCGAGCGATCTTTGTTGTTCAGGCTTCTTAGTCCTTGAAGGTACTTTCGAGTTAAGACTGAATTAAACTCTGACTTTATCTGGTATCAGCAAAGAAAAAGATGACTTACTGCATTTTCAATTCATTAAAAAAAATATTTCATGTTGACATGAATTTAAAAGGGAATTGGCTTAAAAATAATGGGGGTGAGTGGAATGCCTTCCCCTCATGACTGGAGGAGGACCAGGTGTTGATAATTGCTGAAGCTGAGTGATGAAGGTTCATTTTCTCATTCTCTCCTTTTTTTTTATACTTGACATTTTCATAATAAAAGTTTTTTGGTTCTTTTTTAAGTCTGTAGATGAAAAACCGGATTTTTACTGGTATATGTTCAGTTACTGTTTCTCTAAATTTTAAGCTGTTTTTTGCCTGGAGTTGTTTCTATTAGCAAATTGCTCCTGTTTTGTTACTGAGGTGTTGACTTTGGTGGTGAAACTTCATGTATGATTGTTTAACCATTATTATTAAAATTTTAAATATAGACTTCTTACTATCAGTGCATAGCATGATATGACAGAGATTTCCGCATTTTCTTAATTTCCAGTTTTCAACAAACCCTTTCTATGTATTTATTAAACATACTTCCAACTAGATTGTAAGATAAACTTATAGTTTATGAGAATTTGTATGGGAGGAGATAGGGAAGACCCTACCAAACCTCTAAAGCTATGTTTTCATTCATGAATTGTTAGAAAAGCTTCTTACTCAGGTGGCCTAAAATTCGAGATGAGGAGAGCTAGCTAATGGGACCAGGAGAGGTAGGTGAGAACTGGGGGTTTGGGGTGGGGGATCTCACATGCTCTGGGTTTCTTTGTAAAATGGGGTGTTGAAACTGATTCCACGAAGTGCTTCTAAGTAACCAATCAATTCACTTCCTTGCTGCTGTTTGACATTCTCACAGTGACCATCTTTCCACCGTAGAAAAGGACACAAATGGAGAAGTTCTGTGGGTATGGTGTTACCCTTCCACCACAGCTACTTTAAGGAATCTGCTGCTGAGAAAATGCTGCCTTACAGATGAAAACAAACTGCTCCATCCCTTTGTCTTTGGTCAGTACAGAAGAGCATGGTTTTATATCACAACAGTTGAAGTTCCAGATTCTTCCATTTTGAAAAAGGTATGACTGTAGGAGGGTCAACAAAATGGAGAAATAGTTTAAGTGATGTAAGATTATTCCAATAAGCCTTAGCTTTAGACTTCCTCATTCATAATATGTTTTGGGAAAATACTAAATATATGATTTTAATTGGAAATGTTCTCTTTCACATTTCACTCTCAATCATTATATTGATTGGTATATATTGTTTGATTGACCCTTGGTTGGTATACAGACACTTTTCCCAGGTTACACTTGGATGGAGTAGAAATGTAGAAAGGTTTTCAAAGCCTTGACTTTGATTAATAGTGGGAAGAAATATTTTTCCATAATTAAAAACTATTTTAAAGGATATAATTATCCTGGTTAAGAAAACTTTTTTAGTGGTTTATGTTTGATAAGGGTATGTTAAGAATAGAAAGGATAAGTAAGGAAATTTTGTGTGTTCAGTAGACTTTGTGTATGTGTCATTTGATATGGACACCATCAAGGTGACAGGCTAAAAGCCAGTAAGTATGTGGTCATTTTGGACTTTCCTAGTCCTGCATAACCAGCAGGTTTTTTCAGAGAAAAGAGTATTGGTACGGAGTGGCTGAGCCCCTGGTTGGTTTCTGGGTGAAGACTTCTTTTAGCATTTCGGGGCTATTTCTGTAGTCAGTCACCAGATGGTGTGAAGCACGTTCAGGATACCAGCTTAAATGTAAGGAATTATGTTTAAAGTAACAGGAAGGCAACAGTTTAGAAACTATAAGAGGTTTGAGACAAAATAGAGATTAATAATTAGAGAATGTAAATTGTAAAAATATAGTAATGAGAATAATAGGTATATGATGATCGGAAATTTGTATGTATAGTAATAGAGGCATATAGATAAATGAAGGTTATAGCAATGCCCTTTAGCCTATATAACATCCTACAGAGAATTGAATATTTGGGGAACAGTATGATTTTTACTGAAACATTTATATGTTGTTTTCCATCCTTCTATTTCTTTAATGAAAAATAGTCACTAAGTGGTAGGTCTGATACAGCATTCCTAATTCTGCTTTGATGAGGATAGGGGGTTTTAAATAAAAACTCACATTTCTGATATTTGAAATATTTTTATGTTTTTGAGGAAAAGAATTCTAACTAAAAGGAAATTAAATATATGTATATATAATTTATATATATATATACACACACAAAATATTTTTTATGTGTGTATATATATTTGTAAATAATAAACACATAAAAGTATAAAGAGGCAAGTGAGGACTTGTTACATTTTGGTCTTTTCTTTTTAATGCTGGTTTGTCTTATACAAGAGACTTGTTAGGATGTAGTAATAAAGATTAATTCTATTAAAGTGTCTTTAAAGAGTGTGCTTTTTTTTGTTTGTTTTGGACAGGTGACTCATTTTTCTATTGTTCTGACCGCCAAAGATTTTAATCCAGAGAAATATGCCGCCTTCACTAGGATATTGTGTAGGTCTGTATGAAAACTGTATTAAATGCTAATATACAAAAATGAGGATCTTACTCAATAGTCATGTAGCAGATTTCTACATGAGGAAGCGTATTTCAGCCTTCTGTTTGGACACTGTTTTATAAAGAGGAACTTTGTCTTACTTCCATGGTACTGCTCCTGTTATCAGGGAAAACGATAGATGGGGAGAGAAAAGGCAGTTTGCACAACTGTTGTAGGTGCTGGGTATTTTGAGTGACTTGCCACTTTTGGTATTTTACTTCTGCTCATTTCCAAGCTGGAACTTTCCTTAGGATGGGAGTGGTGAGCTGGCTCATTTGTGTCAGTCTGTGTGTGGGAGTCATTTGGGGAAGGCTGATAGGCATTTTGAATTATGCTTAAGGACAGGAAAATATTTCTGAGGAGCTGAGAAACTGATGAACTGGTTAATCATGATTCAAGTGGACTCCTTCAGTTTCACAACTGTTGAAAAAAATTAACCTGAAGTATACTAGTTTGCTTTCTTGCCTTGATAAGTGTATCAAGTGAAATTAATGAAATCTCTTATATGTGAAAGACATTATCTTTTTCTTTAAACAAGACTTTTGCAGGGTTTTGGGTTTTGCTTTTTTTTTTCCTAATATTGTCACTAGATAGAATTATAATTATCAGTGTTATGTATTACCCTCAGATTCACATCCAATATGTAGATTTTTATGGGGGCAGGATAATAGGTGTTGTTTTTGTTTTTCACACTATAAGCCTGATAAATGGTTGCATTTTTGCCATTTTTATATATGTATACACACAGTGTAAGAATACCATCTCATGACCTAAATGTTACAGTTAAGTTATATTTTGACAAAATGAAGTTTTACTGTTTTTGCAGTCAGCTATGATAAGAAAAACTTCTTACTCTCCATGAGATAAATTCCAGGAGTGTGGCTTGCTGTGGAATATACAGAGTTGTCTGCAAATAAGGCACTGACAAAGGGAGATTATAACTGTTAGAAGGGTCACTATCCAGAAGCCATGAACTAAAGACACTGCAGAGGTGTTTTTGAACAAACAGTGGACTCCCATTTCATTTGATTGAGTCAAGGTTAGGCTACTCAGTTGAATTCACTGGGAAACATTCTGGGCCTCCAAAGGCCAGGTCGCTTTAGACCATACTTCCTGCCCTGGAGGAAGCCCCAGAGGGTTTCTCAGCTTGTGCAGTGCTGTGACATTGTCACACTCTGAATTCTCTCCTCCTGTCACAGTTACGAGAGGAATGAGGACTCGAGCGGTGCCAGCCACTTCCTCTGCCTGCCCCCACCAACACCCTCAAGTGTTTGCCCTGGCACCCACATGCTGTCTGCATGCACACTCGTTCTCCCCACGGACACATGTGCCTCTTTACACACACACAGATAAACACTTTTTCACTTTCCCTTTTTTATTTTTACTAAGGTATAGTTGATTTACAATGTTGTGTTAGTTAGAAAAGCACTTTTTGATGGCGGGAAGGTGCCCTTCACAGCACACTGCACACAGTGGCCGGGAAGTCCCCTCATGGCTGGGTCCATTCCCTCTGTGGGATCTGGGCCCACTGCCATGACCCCTTTTTATAATTTTAAATTAATTTGTTTAACGATATTTTATTTTATTTTTTAAATATGTAATCATTTTAATGGTGCCGTTTGGTTTTCTGCTCTGCTTTGGTGGTGGTAATGTAAAAAGAAATAATAAAAAGAAATGCAAATAACACCAAAGGGTGTACCATGTACAGTGAAGTCTAAGTCCCCGTTTTCCCCAGTTCCCAGTCTCCAGTTCTTCCTCCCGATCCCCGAACCCCAGGGCAGCCTTCCTTATGTCTTACTGGAGCTGTTTTCTTCATCTATAAGCATTGGATGAGGTCATGGGGTTGACTTTTTCTATACAAGACAGTTCACCATATTCATTATCCTCTGCCTCTTTTTCCCCAGTGTGTGCACAAAAATAATTTTAAAACACTGACAGTTGATGAAATTTAATAAGCAGTTAAATCCCATGCTTTTTTTCACTTAATTTACAATAAATATAGTTTTCAAGTGATCTGTCTTAAACAGTTATTTTATGTTCATCCCAATTTTGTACCCCTTCAGCTACTAAAATGCCCAAGTAGACTCAGACCTGCTTCTCTAGAATTCACGTTTAGTTTCTCACAGGAAGAGATTGCAGGGGAGGGGCCTGATTTCATATGTGAGCTGTAAATGTAGCCGGCTTCCTGTCAGCATTTTCTGGACCTTTTTAATTTAATGAATGTATCTAGTGTGTATTTATCACCAGAGATTTAGAGGAGTTTGATTTCTTAATTATCTAAATATAGCTACCTCTGAGAACTCCAATAGTAAATATATATTCTGCAACTAATTGCTGCTTTCTCTGTGGACAATGCATGAACTCCTTTCTTACGAAAGGAAATCTAGCAGTAAAACAGAGTTGCTGTGCCCAGCGACACCACCTGTGAATGTAAGACGTAAAAACAGACAAGGATGCAGTGTTCTTGAGGACAGCAGGGCCTCAGGAAGTCCTTAGTCCATTCTCCTGCCTGCCTGGACCTCAGCTGGCCTCCCCAGAGGTAACGAGAGCTGACTGCACAGAACTGTTGAAGGTTTCTCCAGTGGTGGTTTTATTTTCCAAGTAAATTTATAGAAGTAACCATGTCATGAAAAGATGCAGGCATTCAGAAGTGTGGTAGCAAGTTGGCTCAGGTTCTCTAGAACGTACCCATGCCTGGCCTTGGTGCATTACTCCAGGTGGTCCATGCTAACTAGAAGCACGCTTGCTTTCTGTCCTTTTTCACAGAATGTACCTGAAGCACGGGAGCCCAGTTAAGATGATGGAGAGCTACATCGCAGTTCTCACGAAGGGGATATGCCAGAGTGAGGAAAATGGCTCTTTCCTTAGTAAGGACTTTGATGCCCGAAAGGCATACCTTGCAGGTTCCATCAAAGGTAAAAAAAAAAAAAGATGCAAAAAAGAAACAAAAATCCATCCCAACAACAACAAAACCCCAGGCCAAGGACAGTCTGCATTAGACTGTTATTTCCTCTTTCCACATATTTTCATCTACATGATATTTATTTCCTGTGCGGGAAGGTAGTTCTCCATTTCCTTATGTGGTTAGAACTCCGTCAGGAAAGCAGACTTGTGTGGTGTTTCTTTCCATATGATTCCAACTGTCTATAGAGAGTTCTTTCATTGGTGTGCTGAAGTTCGCAGGTCGAAGTCTCCACTGACTTCCATCGTTTTCCTTTCCTTAGATCTTAGCAGTGACCTCTTCCTCGGAGGGGAGCTAAAGCCCCTGCCCTAGTTCCTAGTCTAACTCCCTGCCTCTCTTTCCTTGCTGGAACGTCCAGCTTAGAGCTGAGCCGAGAGTTTGTGTCCTTAACAAGGAAAGAAAGAGGATTCCGCGGGCGATGCTGGCCTTCATTCTCATCCCCAATCCCACTGTGTCATATGGTCTAAGCATCCCTGCTGAGGTGTTAGGTGTTTGTCCAGCTGTCTCTCACAAGGACTTGTGCAGTGATGTGTATGTAGGTTTGGGGAGTCAGTGAACCTTTTTTCTTAAACTTAGGCTTTCACGACCCCAAAGACGGTGATTCCCTTCATATAATTCCCCTTCCTTGTGAATCTGGCTTCACCTCTGCACCCAGCGTCCAGTCCATTGTGGGAGTGGGTGTAGCTACCGTAACACCCGTCCTGGGGAGCAGATGTATGGAGTGATACGCCCATCCACCAACTAAGGTGCTTCCGTACTTACAACATTTACCAAAATTTGTTCTCTATTGAAAATAATTGAGCATTCATGTGATAAGAATTATTTCTGATAAAAACTTGATTTCCTTATATAATGTTTAATGCACTCACAATTTCTTTTGTTTTAAGACATTGTATCTCAGTTTGGAATGGAAACTGTTATCTTACACACAGCACTGATGCTAAAGAAAAGAATTGTCGTCTATCACCCCAAAATAGAAGCTGTCCAGGAGTTTACCAGGTATGATCTCTTATCATTAAAAAGTGTAAACTTTGTCGGCAGCCACTTTGGGGTCCTCTGTGTCACTGGACCCTGTTGCTTTGCACATTGGTATAAGACGTGTTAGCTTAGGGGTGAAATACCACTTTGGTTTAGATTTAGTATTCAAGGTCACTGAGTTTGAACAGATTCTTCTTTAAATTTTGAAATATGAATATTTTGGAGCAGGAAGTTTGCAGACATTCCCTTGCCAGAGAGTAGATATCAGCCTTGTAGCCATATGCTTTCTGTTCCAATTACTCAACTGCCATGGGTTGCACAAAAGCAGCTATGGACAGCACATGCATAAATGAATGAGCACGACTGTGTTCTGGTAAAACCTACGTGCAAAGAAGGGCAGCATACTCATGGGCCATAGTTGCCCGACCCCTGCTTTTGGCAAGTTGTTCTTCCATTCTGTTTTATCACAGACTCTTATGTATATAGTAAATATAGATTAATTTTGTTTTCTTTGCCAAATCTAATTTAGATTTGTTGTTAGATTCTTTTGTAAAAGCAGAGGAGCTAGCATTTATGCTATTCACTGTATGTGAGGCATTGTGTAAGTCACTTAGATGTATTGGACTTACTCATGAGAAGAACCCTGGGAGGAGGTGTGACTGCCCTGTTTGTAGATAAGCAGATGGAGGCTAAGTGGTTAGATACTGAGAAGGAACAAGGCTTGCTAGGCAGAAAAACCTGCAGTAAAGTCCTGGGAGATGACTTCTTAGCCTTGTGACCACATAAAAGATGTGTAATGTTTCTACACCTCAGTTTCTTTATCTGTGAAATGAAGCTGGTAATACCAACCTCATAAGCTTGGTTTAAGGATTGGAAATAATTTGTGTAACATGCTTAGCACATGCCTTGCTCATAGTGTGCACTGTAGAAATGATTATGGTTGTTAGGATGGTGATTGCCTCAGGTCACAGTAATGGGACCAGAATTGTTATCCTGCTCTTACTCCCAAATTCTGTGTTTCTCCACCCATTTTCCCTCTTCCTCTACATTTATGCTTCTGAAACCTGAGTGTCCTCAGTTTCTGAGATATCTAGTAGGCCACCAGAGGGTTCACAAAACCACAGGTGCATTCAACACATACATTTCTTCCTGAATGAAGTGGCTGTTTCACTGGAAGTTTTTTAAGAAAACTTATTTTCATATAAAAACAAACACAAAGTAGTTTGCAAGTTTGGCTGGAATTTTAAATATGAAATGGGAGGCTTCAAAAATATTTCTTGCTTGCAGGGCCCACTTTGGATTTTACCCCCAGACCACCTCTGTGGTGGTCTGCAGAGTGGGGCATTGGGAAGAGCACTTTATTATTATTGTTGTTGTTACTGTTTCAGCTGCCCTGTGAGGCATGTGGGATACTCCCTAAGCAGGGATGGAACCCGCACCTCCTACAGTGGAAGGCAGAGTCTTAACCACTGGACCATGGGGGAACACTTTAAAAGCATCATTCCTTTCCACCGTGGAGATCTTTTGAAACTAATACCTTCAGTTTTTTGCAGCTAATCTAACCCAAATAGTGGTGTTTAAAACACTTGGGCTTCCCTGGTGGTTCAGTGGTAAAGAATCCACCTGCCAATACAGGAGACTCGGGAGTTTGATCCCTGGGTCAGGAAGATCCCCTGGAGAAGGAAATGGCAACCCACTCCAGTTTTCTTGCCTGGGAAATCCCATGGACAGAGGAGCCTAGCGGGCTATAGTTCACGGGGTCACAAAGAGTCAGACACGACTGAGCAACTAAACAGCAAAACACTGCGTTAGTTTACTCTGAAGCCTGGAAGTGTCGGGGTACAGTGAGTTTGTTCTCCTTCTGCATCTGGAAGCCAGTTTCCTCCCCCAGAAGAAGAGGGAACAGGACGGGCGGAGTCTCAGGGGTGGGCTGGCAACCATCTGTGTTCTCACTTTGATTGCCCAGGACTCTGCCTGCCCTGGTATGGCATCGACAGGACTGGACAATACTTCACTCCTACGTGCACCTGGATGCCGATGAACTGGAAGCCCTACAGATGTGCCCAGGTAGGCAGCAGGCTCCCAGGGGAGGAGAAGCTCAGCTTTAACCAGGGTTGTTGTTTGTTTGGGGGGAGGGGAGGGGTGGATTTTTTTTTTTGTTTTTATTTTAGAGCATTCCTAAGGGGAAAGTTGGGCTTTCCTGGTAGCTCAGATAGTAAAAATCCGCCTGCAACATGGGAGACCTGGGTTCAGTCCCTGGGTTGGGAAGATTCCCTGGAGGAAGGCATGGCAACCCACTGCAGTATTCTTGCCTGGAGAATACCCATGGACCAAGGAGCCTGGCAGGCTGCACTCCATGGGGTTGCAAAGAGTTGGATGCGACTGAGCGACTAAGCACAGCACAGCAAGGAGAATGTTGATTATTTATTACTTCTTTGGTAAATGCAGCAAGTTTTTTTTCCCTTAAAAAGTTTTTTTAATTAAAAAAATTTGTACACCTGAAACTAAGACAACATTGTAAATCAACTATGATAAAAATTATAAAATAAAAAAAAATTGTTATATCACCTGAAAGTTACCACCTTTTTCATTTTCCTTTTTATGGAGTGGGGCATGTTTCAAGGCTTGTGGGATCTTAGTTCCCTGACCAGGGATCGAACCTGTACCCCCTGCAGTAGAAGCATAGACTTAGCCACTGGACTGCCAAGGTAGTCTCCTCCCATGGTATCTTTTGATGAATAGAAATCTTAATGTGTTGGGATGTTTTTAGACTTATGATTTTATCTTTTATATTTTGTTTAAGAAAATTTCTATCCCAAAGGTAGAAAGATATTCTCCTATATTTTTTTGTAAAAATTTATAAAGTTTTTTCTTCCCCATTTAAGCCTTTAATCTACCTGGAATTACTATTTTTGTAGGTAGGGTGTGAGTTCCGCTATTTCAGTTTTTCCAATCTGGGTAGCAGCTTGGCTCAGGAACACTTACTGAATAATGTCCTCTCTCTCCAGGAATCTGCAGTATCTTTTTTTTTAATATTTGATATATGATTTTATATATCATAGAAATGATTTTATGAATCATATTTGATATATGATTTTGGTCATCATATATCACATTTTCTTATGCCTGAGGGAATCTTTGTCTGGGTGCTCTGTGGTAAGTTTTTGCTTTTGTTACTGCCATTGTTTTTTTAAACGTCCCCACTTGGTAAAGTAAAATTGGTCCAAAAAAACCCAATTTTTTAAAATTGTATTTCTCTGTGAAATCTAAAAAGTCAGGGAACCTTTGTTTTAACACCAGTTCCAAAAGTCTGCTAATTCTTTTTTATTTATTTTTGGCTGTACTGGATCTTCGCTGCTGCACCCAGGCTTTCTCTAGTTGCAGCGAGAGGGGTTTACTCTCCAGCTGCGGTACGCAGGCTTCTCATTGCGGTGGCTTCTTTTGTTGCAGCTCATGGGCTCGAGGGCACACAGGCTTCAGTTGTTGGTGGCCCACAGGCTTAGTTGCCCATGGCATGTGGAATCTTCCTGGAGTAGGGGTCAAACCCATGTCCCTTGCATTGGCAGGTGGATTCCTAACCACTGGACCACCACGGAAGTCCAGTCTGCTGATTCTTGAGTTGCTTTGATTCCTTTAGTGTTTATTGTATCTGATCTAAAGTTGGTGACGATGATGCTATTTCTTCCATGCTATCCCTGAGGAACCTGAGTGTTTGGCTGTGACTTCTTGGCGACAGAGACCTGGGAGGGGACAGTGGTCAAGAGAATCCTTGCTACACGTTTTCTCTGACATTCTTTTTTTATTTGGTTGCATAGTATGACCTGGGGGATCTTAGTTCCCCAACCAAGGATTGAACCTGGGATCCAACAGAGAAAGCACCAGGTCCCCACCACTGGACCACCAGGGAATTCCCTCCTGTCATTCTTCACCCAAATAGTGACAAGTGAAAAGCTGATGCTTTACTTCAGTGTTCTTCCTTGACATAAAATCTAATTTGGGGACATTCTGAGGGGTGTGTGAGTTTCTTCAGACAGTTGGTGATAATGTCACCTTAAGAAATACCACAGATACAGCTTAAATGCCCTGGATAAGTAATGCAGAGAAGAAAAGCAGCTGATGAACTCTTAGACTCACTCCCGTTTTGGTATGTTCACAGTATGATTTTCTCCTTCTCCAGTAACGCTGGTCCTTCCTGTAACACAGGTTACATCGCTGGATTTGTGGACTTGGAGGTGAGCAACAGATCAGACCTGTACGATGTGTTTGTGAATCTGGCAGACAGTGAGATCACCATTGCCCCCCTCGCAAAAGGTTAGTTCTCTGTTCTTCTCTGATTTTGACACTGGAGGTAAGCCAAGCAGTTGTATTTTTTAGGCTGATTCTCAGTATTTAAATACTAAATATGCACCTGTTGTGCTGGAGGGATTTTTCTGTGTCTGGAACACAGCACTCATTCTAGTAGACCTAACCATTAAGGATACATGTGAGTGCTTATACTGTATGATATATATATATATATATATATATATATATATATATATATATGTAAGATCAATGGTCTGTTCATCTTGTTTCTCCACTTTTCTGGTTAAACACGGTGTATTTGTTATCTATTGCTGCATAACAGATTACTGCTAAACTTTGTGATTTAAAACACCAAATACTTATTATCTCAAAGTTTTGGTGGGCAAGAATTTAGCAGAGACTTAGCTAGGAGGTTCTGGCTCAGGGTCTCTCATGAGGTTTTAATCAAGATATTGGCAGGGCTGCAGTCAAATGAAAGCTCAACTGGGGCGAAGAGGATCCCTTCCAAGCTTGCTCACATGGCTGTGGACAGGCGGCCTCAGCACAGGGCCTTGCCCTGGGACAGCGTGAGTGTTCTCAGCACGTGACTGCTGGTCACCCCAACAGTAATTCAAGACAGAGGGGGCCATAGGGTCTTCTGCGACCTAGTCTGGGAGGTCACATACCGTCACTGCCTCCATTCTATTTGTTAAAGCAGGTCATTAAGGGAAAAGAATTTAGACTCCACCTCATGAAGGACAAAGTATCAAAGAGTGTGCAGATGTCTGTCACTGCACAAGGGTTGAGTATGGCTCCTGTGTAGAAAATCTTTTTGAACAGTGTCTCAGTAAACACCAGGGAATGAATATTCTTGGGGGCTAAAGACCAAGAAAGGGTGTTCTGGTGTCATAGGGTCACCTGTGGAAACTGTACATCATCCTAAATTACAGCTGCATGAAGAAGAAAAGATTGGGGTTTTATACATTTTGAGCCCAGGACATTGTGAAGTCTTGGTTTTAGATGAGAATTACTGATAACAACCTTTGTGTTATCATTTATTTTTCTCCGAAAATTGGGAGCAGCTGAATGCTATCCATTGAGGGATATTTGTTAGGTAGGTTCTGATTATGTGAGGTTTTATCTAGCAACCTCCAATTAATAGAACTAAAACTTTAGTTCACTTGGAAATTACAAGCATAGTACATATTCATGGTGAAAAATTCAAAATATGGTATCAGGTCTTTAGGAGATGTTGCCTTTTGTAAAGCCAGAGTGGTAGAAATCTATCTGTGGCCAGGGCCACTGAAACTGCTAAAGCATTTGGACCAGAAAGCGTGGCCGCTCCCTGCTGTCCGCTGCTGCTCTGAGTCAATAAAATGGGCTTATCCCAGTGGAGTCTGTCCCTTTCGAGTGTTAAAACAGAAATCTCTGTTAACCTTCTTGCTGCAGAAAATAGCAGTGTAGATATTGGGTTGGCTAAAAAGTTCGTCACAGAAGAATCTGAAGGAACTTTTTGGTCAGCCCAGAATTACTGTGACCCAGGCTGCTGCCCTGGCTCATTCCTAGTGGCCTTTATGCTGTGACTGCTGAGATGCTTCTGCAGAACTGACAGGAAGCACTGCTTCCACAGTATTCCTGCCAGAAAGATAAACGTGAATTCCCACCTGTGAAACCATGGACAGGAAAGTCAGGCTCTTGGCTTACAATCACAACCTACACGTAGTCAGTTTTCATTAGGTTTTTGTCTAGAAAGAAAAATAAAAATTCTTACCAGAATTTTAGTTTGGCATTGGTATATTTTTACTTTGGACATGAAGTATATAAATCATGATCATGCCTTAGCTCCTGTTGTGTCGTCCTATTTGTGTGTAGTCAATTCAGTCACTTAGTCATGTCCGACTCTTTACGACCCCATGGACTGCAGCACGTCAGGCCTCCCTGTTCATCACCAACTCCCGGAGCTTACTCAAACTCATGTCCATTGAGTCCGTGATGCCATCCAGCCATCTCATCTATGTGTAGTAACAGGATGGAGATGTGGGGGCTTGTCAATTGTTTTTTCAGAATCCCCTCTGTACAGTAATTTGGATTGTCATGTAGATGATTATTTTTCATTTTGTAAATGTCTAAACATTCACATAACATATTCTTCTTGATTTCACCAGAGGCCATGACAATGGGCAAACTGCATAAAGAAATTGGTCAGTTAATTGTCCAGTCGGCAGAAGATCCAGAGAAGTCAGACAGCCAAGTTATACAGGTAATGCCTTCATCTTCCCACCGACGGGGTCCCGAAAAGGCATCTTTTGGCAGCAGCAGGTTATCTGCTGTCCACGTGAACAGAGTGAAGTGACTGGGGAGGCCCATGGGCAGCTGCTCAGAGGAGGTCTTCGGGATGGGCCTGATGAAGATGAGCCAGTCAGTTACCAGGCTCCAAGAAGAGACAGACACAGGGGGCTGGTGCCAAAATCAAGTAGTTATTGTGGAAGATATAACCGCAAGTGGTGAGAGGGGATATAGGTTTGGTGGGCACTCGCCAGCAGCGCCTTTCTCTTCAATGCTGGTGGCCCGCCCAGCTGTGGCCTGGAGGGGTGGATGGGTTTTGTCCTGAGAACTCAGGCTTTTGAGACTCTCCTCCTGGACAGATGGTCGTTACCCACCCATTCCACCATCACCATTAGAGTGAATGCAGTGTTGGTGAAATGTATAAATTTGAGTTTTTAATTACAGTGTTTTTCATGGACTAAAAGTGATCCGTAGACGGCTCAGTATAATGTATGACGTAGTGCCTGGTGTGTACTCACAATTCAGAAATATCCAAATGAATTAATGATGTCAGCAAACCAGGAAAGAGACATGACTTTAATGTGAGACCTGCTGAGTCCTCAGCCACCCGAAGGGAAAGTCAGTCAGTGAAGGGGAAGGAAAGCCTGTGTGGCGGGTGCTGGGCTGCTCATCCCAGGCAGGAGGGGACTCTGGGAAGAGATTTGTTCTAAGAACAATAGCAGGTTCCTCAAAAAGCCAAACACAGCATTAATATAGATTTGGTAATTCTATATTAAAAATTGAAAACAGGACCTCAAATAGATATTTATGTACCCATGTCCATAGTAGCATTATTCACAATGGCCAAAAGGTGAAAACAACCCAGATGTTCATCAGTGGATGGATGGATAAACAAAATGTGGTGTGTACATATGGTGGAATATTACTCAGCCTTAGAATGAAGTGCTGACGTGTGCTACAGCATGTATGAACCTTGAAAACATTATGCTGAGTGAAATACGCCAGTCACAAAAGGACAAATGTTTTGATTCCACTAGTACCTATTATAGAATAGGCAAGTTCATAGAGGCAGAAATCACCATTGTACTAATGGTGATTGCCAAGGTCTACGGGGGTGGGTGGGGAGTTATTATTTAATATGTACAGGGTTTTGGTTTAGAATGATGAAAGAGTTCTGGGAATGGGTAGTGGTGATGGCAGCACAACGTGATGAAAGTACTTAAAACGCCACTGAGTTGTGCACTTAAAAAAAAAAGGGGTTAAAATATTCCCCCCACCCCTACCACTGCTGCTGCGCAGAGTTAGCTGTGACATTTATTTTTTGTAGTTTTAAATTTGTTTCATTTTTTATAATTTATAAATAAAATTAGTCTGATAAAAAATAGCAGGAAAATTTCTGGAGAGCTATTCAAATTTTTGGACACTAGTGTATTGTATATTTTCCTGTTCTGTTAAAGGATATCTCCCTAAAAACAAAAGAAATCTTCACCAACCTGGCTCCATTCTCAGAAGTTTCGGATGATGGAGAAAAGCGAGTGCTCAATTATGAGGCACTAAAGCAAAGACGGTTTCCGCCAGCCACAGAAAACTTCCTCTACCATCTAGCTGCCGCGGAGCAAATGCTGAAAATCTGACGGTGGGCAGAATGTATCACTGACTGATCTAAAGCCCTAGCACCACGATTATCCAATTAACTATGTAAAATACTGGAAATAACCAAGAAAATGTTATATTTTTAATGTTTTATTTGAAAGCATTGTAATTTGACCTGAAAAAGCACTGAAACACACATGAAAACACTTGATTTCCTCCTATCTGATTAATTTCATGCCTACTTTCAATGTTTACAAAGTGCTGTAACCACCTATCTATGTAACTTTATAAAAGCCCGACATCCCTGGATAAGAGCAGAGCAGCTCTGTCAAGTTCTCCAGCAAATCGCAGCAAATCTGAAGGCCTTCATTATTATAAGTTCCAGTTTATCTCATTGTGTAACCACAAACTAATGGTTTATTTTCAGAAAGCTGCCTGAACTTTTGCTTTGAATTCTTCTAGGAAGAACTTTCATTCCTCATGAGGAACTCTACTTTCTGAGCCAAACTACTAAGTTCTCTGCAGAACTGTCTAGAAGATCATTCAAAAGACCCTGCAGTTGCACTTTCTTGTAAAAGAATTTTTTTTTTCTTAGCCTCTGAATATTTTGCCTGTATTACAAGGGTTTTGCCTAGATTTTATACTTGAGTAGAAAACTTTAATAATCCATATTTATACTGTCGCAGAGGTAAGCATTTGGCAAATTTAAGCCATGAGTACTCTTTAATTAACCTAGTTGCTAGCAATATTCTTTTGAAAAAAAGGCTAGTCCTTATGTAGTAGCATAAGAGAAGAAGCCCATTTTGAATATAAATGTCTGTCTGACTGAAACAGCAACCTTATATAATTGGTGAGGGACTGTGAGAATTAACTTCTTGTAAAGGCCAAAACAAGAGAATGTCTTCAAACAACGTCAGTAAAAATAATTTGGCCACATGTGAAGGTATCCATTCTTGTTTAGTTAGGTACCTTTTTCATAATTGGAGACCTAAAAATTGCAAAATAAGCATGGGGCTCTAAATTACGTTCTTGTTATATGTATTCATATTAATTATGACAGGTTATTTTTTTTCACTCAGTACTCTTGTCCTCAAAAATCTTAACCAGAAAAATGTTTGCAGAAAAACTTGTCTTTATTGGATCTTTCATTTAACCTGGGTGGTAGACATTTGTTAAGGAAAAAATTTTGAAACAGCCCCTTCTTGGGTGGGGGCAGGGGAGGATTTGAAGTGAAATGATGTTTACTGGGGCAAACAATTGAAAATTAAATCTGCACTTTATGAAAATGAATACTAACGTCTTTTTCACCCTCATTTTTTTTTTTGTATTACTGTATTAGCTCATGATCAAAGCTGTTGAAATAACAAATTTATGATACAGAAATAAAGTGAAATATTTTGATATTCAGCACTTTCAGGCATAAATTGTGCCCTTTCTCCCCACTCCAGCCAAACGAAAGAAAAAACCCTCCCTGGCAAATGCAACCCCTGGGGGATTGTCCAAAGGCCTATATGAATATTCAAGCAGTCTGGCTCCTTCCACCCCTGGCTTGGCCCTTCTTTCCTTACCGGGTCCTCCTCCACGCCCCCTTCCTGGAGCTGACTCTAAGATCCAAGTGTCATCTTCAAAAAGATGTCCTCCCATTACTACTGTATCATCCACCAGGGGCTGAATCTTCACTGGGAGCCTTTGCACATTTGTCATTTTGTTTAGTAGAAACTTGTGGCTACATGGAGCTGACTGGTAGATCATTTTGACTGGTTTTGTCCTTCTAGGCTGTGGTGAAACGCCTTTTACCAAATTTGGAGATAACTGTCATTTTGTGACCTAGGGAAGACTGAAAGCCACAGGTGCAGTTTTTTTTAGATGTATTTTTGGCTGTGGTGGGTCTTCACTGCATGCAGGCTTTCTCTGGTTGCGGTGAGCAGAGGCTGCTCTTCATTGCTGCGTGAGGGTCTCTCGCTGCGGTGACTTCTTGTGGAGCATGGGCTTGTAGGCGCACAGACTTCAGTAGTTTCAGCTTCAGGGCTCGAGAGCACAGGCCTAGTTGCTTCACAGCCTGTGGGATCTTCCCAGACCAGAGAGCAAACCGGTGTCCCTAGCACTGCAAGACAGCTTGTTAACCACTGGATCCCCAGGGAAGCCCCGCAGGTGCGTTCTGAGATGACTTGGGGCAGGGTGTGTTAGAAACACCCTCCATCCAGTACACAAACGTGCGTGCCTGCCTACACTGTGCACTGTGCATCATATCCTGGGGCTTCCTTGATGCCAGGACAATGGTTCTCACTCTCAAGATGCACCAGCTGTGGGGGCATAGGGTCAGCAAACAGGCCATGGCATGGCCGTGTGGCAAATGCTAGGCGAGACAGGAGCGCTACGGGAACACACCGGAGGGGCGCCTAATTCAGTCCTGCGAATCCTGGAAGGCTCCCTGGAGAAAAGTGATTGACGTCCAGGTCAGACTTGAAGCCCAGGGAGAGGTTAACCGGGAACAGAGGGAACAGCGTGTGGGAAGGCTCAGACACACTGATGGACATCAGTCCAGAGTGATGAGCAGGAGTGGCAAGAGAGGAATAAAGTCTTCTACCTGCCGTGGCAAGGAATTTGGACTTGATCCTGGTGTACTGGGAGGCCATTTAAGGCTTTTAAGCAGGTGTGGTTTAGAAGAGCAGGCTAGAAATGGACTGATGAGCAGTACCAGCAGGGGATGCTGTTGGACTGCGCCGTGGTGGTGGTGGTGGACAGAGGGCTGCTGGGTCTACTGAATGGGGCGGGGGGAGGAGGGGAGTAAGGGTGATGCCAGTGGTCCTGACTAAGCCAGTAAGCGGCAGTGCCATTTCCTGAGACTGGGAGGGAAAGATGCTCCCAAATGTATGTCCGAATGGCAAAGTGCAGGAACAGCTGGACGTGGTCCTGTTGCTGAGGGGAGAGCCAGCCCCGTGACAGGGCTGCCCAGAGGGCAGTGGCCGTATGAACAGCACTGGGGCACGGATGACAGCAGCCTTAGCAGTGGAAGGTGGGGTGGAGAGTGAGGGCAGAAAACTCTTTGCAAAACTTTGGCTACACAGAGGGGTGTTTGTTTTTTCATGAGCCAAGTGACTCATGCAGTTGAAACGCTCCTGGGGAGAAGCAGAGGAGGGAGGCTGAAGCCAGAGCGGGCAGTGAAGGTGCAGAGCAAGGCCGCGGGGCAACAGGCAGAGTCGGTGGGGCCCAAGCCCAGGACACCGCTGATCATGCAGGGAGGAGGGGAGGCTGGGCGTGGGTGGACGGAGGTCAGCAGGCTTCCTGCCAGGAGGCCGAGAGCCTTGGCTTTCACCGTGGAGGGCAAGAACGAGTCATCTGCCAGGGAGGAGAAAGGAGGAGCTGGGTAGCAGCTGGCAAAGGTTTTAAGCAGCTGTCCAAACAGGAGGAAGCTGAGAAGGGAAACACCATTGCTTTGGGGGTGGAAGGCCTTCACCTACTCCCCACCAGTGTACCTGGAGGTGGGCTGTGCATTGGGCACGTGGACCTTTCTCCTTCGTTTTCAAATACTCAACTCTAGACAAGTTTATTGGTGATTTCACAGTATCCTTTCACAGGCTGACAGACAAATAGAAAACCAAATCTTATATCACGCACACAATCCCCTTAGCAACCGCACGTGGTGGGTCAGACAGGACAGCCCCCGTTTCTCTTCTTCCATCCAAGCCTGTTAACCCGAGGCAGGACCAGTCTTGTCAGGTGTCATCGTAAGCCATCCTGTCGGCACAGACACCTCTGGGGATTCCAGGACCCTTCTGGCAGGTTCTTGAAACTAAAACCTTAGAGGAAGGTTTTCACGCAGGAACCAACCAAATGCAGCTAAAACGCACACCTACACCCCTCTGTTATAGAAGAGTTCTGTTTCTTCTGTTGCCAACTGAATTTCCTTTTCAAGCTCACTGCACTGTATCTAAAAAACAAAGTTAAATTCTTAATATGCATATTCAGTTTTTTTGCCTTAGAAGTTAAAATTTTTTTTTCAGGAGTTTCCAGTGCTCTAGTGGTTAAGACATTAGGATTTGGAGCTTTCACTGCTAAGGGCCCCCGGGTTCAATCTCTGGTTGGGGAACCAAGATCCTGCAACCATGTAGCGTAGGAAAAAAAAAAAAACAGTTCAGAAAGCATCTATTTCAGTCCAATCTTTTCAGTGATGTCTTAAAAAAAAAAAAAATTAACCTGGAATTCACTGGCAGTTCAGTGGTTAGGACTCCATGTGGTCACTGCTGAGGGCCCAGGTTCAATCCCTGGTAGGGGAACTAAAATCCCACACACTGTGAGGCTTGCAGGATCTTAAGTTCCCTGATTAAGGGCTAAGCCTGGGCCCCTTGCATTGCAAGTTCAGAGTCCTAACTACGAGACCATCAGGAAAGTCCCTTAAAAACTTTCTTATGGAAAATTTCAAATATAAACAAATGCTGCGGCTCCCACAATGTCTGAGGATGTACCCTGGGCAGGGCCCTGGCAGAACCTCTCAGCCCCGCACTCTATCTGCAAGCCACCCCAGTCAGGACAGGACCACCATTCAGCCACCTCATGCCCACCTTGGATCAACAAGTTATTTTAAACATCCAACAAATGCCAAGACTTGCTTGGTGGGGGTTGGAGGTCAGGGGGTGGTGATGTGACAGCAACAAGCATTTCAGCCAAGAAATGCCGGAAATCAGTATCTACTACATCAGTAATGTCCTTGCTATCAGCAACAAGCCTTTGTAGAGGTATTATGACCTCCATCTGTCTTTAATAGAAACTAAGCCTCAGAGAGTTTAAGCAGATTTACCAGGGTCATGGATGAGCTGGGAATCTGAGTCCAGGCAGTCTGACTCATCACAGAGTATAATATATCCTGCTCTATAGAGCAGCAGAGGCTCCCCAGGTGGCACTAGTGGTAAAGACTTCAAGTGGTAAAGAATTATCTGCCAATGCAAGAGACAGACTCAGGTTTGATCAAGGTCAGGAAGATCCCCTGGAGTAGGAAATGGCAACCCACTCCAGTAGTCTTGCCTGGGAAATCCCATAGACAGAGGAGCCTGGTGGGCTACAGTACATGGGGCTGCAAAGAGTGGGACATGACTGAGCACGCACAGAATGGGTGTCACTGGCTGCATGTGAGCACTTAAAATTAAACAGATTAAAAACTTCAATCCCTCAGCCACACTAGCTATGTTTCCAGTGCTCAAAAGCCAGCTGTGATGAGGGACTACACATACTGGACAACACATTACAACGTCTCCATCGCTGCGGAAAGCCCTATGGGATGGAGTGTCACTATAGTATCTTATGAAGCTTTAAACTATCTCAAAGTTGTTTTTTTTTTTTTAAAGTCCCAGAAAAACACTTCAGATACACAGTTAAGAAAAACAGAATCCAAAACTGTGCAAGTCATCTGCAGGGTGGGATTATGTGTAAAGGATGTTATTTTGTTTTATTCTTCTGTAAACTTGGCCCGATTTTTTTCAGAGAATGAGTTATCTCACTCTGATAATGAGGAAAAGTGACACATTTTTTTTTTTTAGAGGAAGTTGAAGGGGGACACTTACCCGTCTGATCTGTGGGAAGATGCTGAAGGAAACTGGCACCATCAATCCCATGACGAGGATCGTACAAGAAAACTTCAGGGTCCACAGTGACCATGGATTCTGCAGGAAAAACTGGGTCCTGTAAGAAAAAGGTACCAGGGCTTTTAAAATTAATTAAAAAAAATTTTTTTTAAGATGGCTTACTTAAATTTTTATTTATATTTTTGGCCTCACCACACAGTGCGTGGTGTCTCAGTTCCCCATCCAGGGATCGAACCCAGGCCACCTGCCATGGAAGCTTCGACGCAACCACTGGACCACCAGAGATGTCCCTCCAGGGCTTTTTTAGAGGCCCGCCCTGGGCTCAAATGGCAGTCAATTGTTTTGTGAGCAGCCGCAGGCCTGGCCTCTGTTCCTAATCACCCCACAACAGGTGATACCAGCAGCCGCACAGATGGAGCAGTCACTACATGTCAGCCCTGGGTCAAGCACTTCACATGCATTTGCTGACCTGCTATCCCCCGACCCTATGAGGTCAATGTTATCATCATCTCCTTCACACCAACAAGAGGACGCAGCCACATCTTCAAATTCTCAAAAGTGAGAGGTCAGATTCTAGGACCTGCGCCCTCCCCTGGACTGTGATGTTCCGACCCTGACCTCTGAGACTGTGGGAAGGAGGAGCAAGAAGCCCAGCCTGGGAAGCCAGAGATCTGGGGTCCTGGGGTCTGGCTGGGGCTCGGCCACTGACAGACCCTGTGCTCTCAGGTAAATCGCCTTCCCCTTCTGAGCCCTGAGATTTTTCAGAGGCAAAAATGAAAGGGTTGAATCAGAAGGGCCACTGCAGCCACTCCACCTGGGATACTGTCATGAGTGTGGGACGAGGTCCCTTCCAGGCACCCCTAAGGCCCACCGGGAAATGAGGACCACCTCTCCCCACCAGGCAGGTGGTACCACTGTGCAGGCCTTGGAGGATGAACCTCTAGATCCCAGCTTTCCCAGTATCCCCCACGCTGAGGTCAGCCAGAGAAGAGCAGGGGGACCCAACCCTGGAGAAGTCCCCACACCCACACAGCTGGATCGACCATGGGAAGTAAGAGTTGGACAGAACACTGCTGCTTCCTGAAATGCACTCTTTGTGTGATTCAAGCAGAGGCTTTCTAGCTCAGCAGCCCAGACAGAGCAGGCTGGGCCAGCATCAGGCAGGTGACCCCTCCTGGACCAATAGGATCCTTTCCCAGGAGTTTGTGAACTGTGTGGAAGACACTCCCTACCCTCAGCCCCCCAAGGTTTGCTGTGTTTTTCTCTCTCATCAAGACACTGTAGGGACTTCCCTAGTGGTCTAGTGATTAAGGGGCTTCCCAGGTGGCGCTAGTGCTAAAGAACCCGCCTGCCAATATAGGTTAGACATAAGAGACATGGGTTCAATCCTTGAGTTGGAAAGATCCCCTGGTGGAGGGGATGGCAACCCACTCCAGTATTCTGCCTTCCAATGCAGCCGGTGTGGGTTTGATCCCTGGTTGGGGAATTAAGGTCCCATATGCTGTGGGGTATGGCCAAAAATTAAAAAAAAAAAAGACACTGCAAGGATACCAGCTGGGAGGTGGCCACAGTCACATGTCAACATGAAGAAGCCAATGTACAGAGGGAAAGGAGGAAGACAACAGCCACAAAGAAGAAGAGAGGACTGTCCTGCACAAGAGTTCTGATCAGCTGCCGCAGGCCACCCTGCCTGCCCCGTTCCTGGTACCTAAACCAACGCCTTTCCTCCTGCCCTAAGCTGCTTCCTGCAAGTGGGGCCTTTCATACTAGCTGACCCCAGGCTCTCCTCCTAACAGGCCATGGCAGGGATTTCCCTGGTTGTCCAGTGGTTAAGATGCAGTGCTCCTAATACAGGGGGCCAGGGTTTGATCTGTGGTTGAGGAATTAGATCCACAAGCCACAACCAAAAGATCCTGCATGCCACAAGTAAGAGCTGGCACGGCCAAATCAATAAATATTAAAATAAACAAATAAAGGAATGGCAGTCAACTGATTCTGGGCCACTTAAGCTAATTTAACACATGCTTGGAACGAAGAGGGGAAAGAGACTTGAGCAACATCCATAGCACATGAGAGCTGGGAAAGTAAAGTGAAAAAGTGAAAGTGTTAGCCACTCAGTCATGTCTGACTCTGTGTGACCCCATGGACTATAGCCTGCCAGGCTCTTTTCTGTTGCTGAAATTCTCCAGGCAAGAATACTGGGGTGAGTTGCCAGGCCCCGCAAATCCTCCAAACTCATCTTTCTATCAACAGAAATGAGGACTCGAGCCTCAGCAGGTGCAGGGACACGCCCAAGGAGTAACTGAGGACAGAGCCTGGGGGAGAGTCCAGGTTTGTTGGAATGTGCACATCAGGATTTCCACACCTGCCCTAAATCAGTCCTACCATCTTAATGGTGATGAAGACTGTTTAGAAGAAAGATTCCTAAAGGACCTTCTTCCCATCCCGCTCATCAGATTCAGTATTTGACAAATTTTATACAGTTTTGATGGTCAACATGTTTATTCCTTCCTGGGGATATAAGCATACCTCTTACCTTTTAAAAAAGTATGCAAAGACTTCAGGAATAAACGCAGAGGTCCCAAACAGCACAACTCTGGATGTTGCTGTATCTTTAACGGCCTAGTGGAAATGAAAAGAAAGCAGCTTAGCACATGGAGCAGGACGAGTTCCAGGGAACTTGCAGCTCATGACAGAGACTGGCAAACTGCCATTCTCCCCTCTCTGCACGTGCAAAGAGCTGGAAGCAGCGCTTGACCTGCACACGTACAGAAAATGCCTGGAGTTGGTGCCTGGAGTGACCGGAGATGAGAGTAACCTCTCCATGACTCCACAATGGTCTCCATCACTCCCACCAACCACCCCAAATAAAACATTAATTACAAGCAGAAGCAGCTGACAGACAAATCCTTACTTAGAACCAAATGGCAGTCCCTTTGCTAGAAAAGCTTGATTTACCACTGAGGACATCGCCACATTTTTCTTTCAGTCCAGGATTCTGCCACCCACCTTCCTCTCCTAAACTGCCCCCAGTTAATCCCACTCCTTCCAGTAGGGGAAGCCCAGCTCTCAGTGCACTGGCATGGCATCATGTCCGCATGTAACATGCATGAGTCTGCCTGCCTGCTTCCATCTTTTGCTTGTGTGATGAACAGTGTGTTATAAAATTTTATTTTGCATAAACATATATGTATAGTCTATACCATGTTGCCATCTTTTCTATAATATAAGTCACTCTTATATTGGAGATGTACAAGGGAAATTTTGACTATAGATGACACTTGCATTGGAACGTCAGAACCCGACCTCTGGGTAAGACACAACTCTACACGCTGAGTGTAAGATAGACAGGCACTCTGCCCACCCTGCCCTCCCCTGAAATCTGTTCTGTGCACTTCCGGCCTCCTGTGACTCCGTGGCTACAGCCCATCGTCCAGGCTTCTCTGCTGTGGCCCACATGCCTGTTTTCTGCCTAGGACACTAATGCTCAGCTCATCTGATCCCCTGCAGGAATGCCCTTCCCCCACGAGGACAGAGGGCTGCAAGAAGGGTGTGGCTTTTAAAAATAACCTTTCAGGAATACAAGATAAGGTTGCTCAAAGAAGAAAAGAGTGGTAGCTGAGCCTGGAGTGTTTCAGCGTCAGCAGGGCAAGGCCAGCCTCTCTCCATTTGTCTTGTGTGGAAGGGAAGACATTCCAAACCAGACACCGGTCATGAGACACTGCGAGATGCGTGGCAGGCTGCAACTGAGTAGCTGACACGGCCAGGCAAAGGAAAACAGTGTGGACTAGGCTCCTGAAATCTAATCAAAGGTGCTCTATTACAATCAGATATTGCTGGTTACGCAGTTTCTGAAATTTTAGCTGAAGAAAAGAAATCTTCCGATGACAGGGAAGTGATAAAAGAATGACCACGCTTACGCATGGTCACAGACACTTTATTCTTAAGAGAAAGATCAACTTTTTTTTTTAAGATCACCAAGCCTTTCTTTCACCCTAAATTGGCCGTGTTGCAAACAAGGAAGCTCCTCTCAATAAGATGGGCTAGATAACTGGGTAGCTATCAGGGCCCGAGGCTCCCTCCCAGCCCCTGGAGAGAAGCAATGCTGACCGGTGAGGGGTGGGTCTCCAGAGCCCAGCACAGCACCCGAGAAGCGGGAGGTGCTGAAGAACAACTTGGGGATTAAACATGCGCTCTCGTGCTTCTCACCGTGCACTGCAGTTAAAATTCAGTTGAAGAAAAATGCCAACACACATCCACACACAGAGTTGTATGTACACAAGCGGTCAGAGTGGCATCAAGGACAACAGCCAAAAGTTGGACACAATCCAAATGTCCATCGCCTGGGGAGCAGACAAGCAAAATGTGGTACAGTGGAAGACCACTCGGCAATAGAAAGCCACGCACTACCAGTGCGTTACAAGATGAATGAACCTCAAAAGTCAAAGAGGCCAGACACAAAAATACTGTGAGTCACTCGTATGAAACTTCTAGAAAAGGCAAAACAATGAAGACATAAAGCAGATCAGTGTTCCTCTGGGGCTGCGGGTGGGAGGGGGAGTGACTGAAACAGAATTCTGTTTCACCCAACAGACTTTTCAAGGGGATGAAAATGTTCTAAAATCGGACTGTGGTGGGGCTTGCCTGGTGGTCCAAGGGCTAAGACTGTCCTCCCAGTCTTGGTCAATCCCTGGTCAGGGAACTAGATCCCACAAGCTGCAACGAAGAGTTTCCGCATGCCGCAACTAAGACCCAATACAGCCAAATAATAAACATTTAAATAATAATAAAATAAATCTCAATATATATATATATTTGGGTTCTCTGGTAGCTCAGCTGGTAAAGAATCCGACTACAATGCAGGAGATCCCAGTTCAATTCCTGGGTAGGAAGATCCACTGGAGAAGGTGGCGTTAGTGGTAAAGAACCTGCCTGCTAAGGCAGGAGACAGAAGAGACGTGGGTTCAATCCTTGGCTTAGGAAGATCCTCTGGAAGAGGAGGGTGTGGCAACCGACTCCAGTATTCTTGCCTGGAGAATCCCACAGACAGAGGAGTCTGGTGGGCTACAGTCCATAGGGTTCCAAAAAAGTCGGACATGACTGAAGCGACTTAGCACAGCACACACTTAATGTATTTATATAGATGACTGAAAGATAGATGGCCAGATATTCTATTGGTTCTGTTTCTCTGGAGAACCCAGATACTGCATCACCTTTTAAACATCAGAGTGCAAATGTGAACTCTCTCTGAGCACCATGAGAAAAGACAGATAAGAAAAGGCTGAACTGAGATGTGAATTTGTTACCAGCTCTCAGACTGACAATTAACTTCTTTGCCCCAAAGGCAAGCAGCTTGCAGCTTCATGGCGTGCGTCCCCTACCTTTGTCCCAGCTTTTCTGGAATAACCTATGACATTGCCTTCCTTGTCCATGACCTCGATCCCGCGCATGGGCTCCAAACTTCGGGAGGCAATCACGTTCATCCCACTGAGCTGGGCTGTGGACGTAAAGAAGGAAAGAGAGGGATGAATGTGGGTCCAGTGAAGAGGCATGTTTTCGAGGGTCACGCCTCTTTCTCTGATGGGTGCGCTTTGCTGATCCATGGGCGGTCACCTGACACATACAAGGTCAGCTCTCTCCTGGGCTGTGGAGCAGGGGTCAGAACTGCTGGCCTCTTGGTCTTGGATCCTGACTACAACCCAGCCCCAGGTCCTGACACCCTTGACGGGATTCCCAGAAGAACCCCGGGGCCTTTGAAATATGCCTGCCTTCTTTGCTGAAGCTGGTTTGACCCAGTTTCTATAACATAATTTCCCAGATTTTACCACTGACCTAATTCTGCCAGCTCTTCAAGCTGCTTTGATTTCCAAGCCCAAGTGCTGAGGGTGAATTACTGAACTTGCAGGCTGGCAAATTTAAAACAGTTGGTTACTATCTCTGTCCCTCCCTTGGAGTCAGACTACTGGTTTGAAATCCCCAAGACTACTACTTCCTCCCTGTGTAACCCTAGAAAATCCCCCTAACCACCCCTTGCCTCAGTCTCCTCATCTGTAAGTGGGGATAATATTACCTGCCTCTAAGTTGTTGTCAAGATTCAGTGAAATAATATATGGACAAGGCTTGTACAATCTTTACAAAGAGATGGAGACATAGAGAACGGATGTGCGGACAGAGAGAGAGATGGGGAGAGGGGAGCGAACTGGGAGATTGGGGTTGACATATATACATTTCCATGTGTACAACAGAGAGCTAGTGGGAAGCTGCTCTTTAGTACAAGAGCTTAGCTCAGTGCTCTGTGATGACCTGGAGGGGTGGGATGGGGGCAGTGGGAAGGAGGTTCAAGACGGAGGGTAAATGTGTATACACGCACACACACACACAGAGACACACATATAGTGATTCACTTCGCTGTACAGCAGAAACGAACATTGTAAAGCAATTATATTCCAAGAAAAAATTTTAAAAATAAAAAATACTAATTGGAGTATATTTGTTATAAATAATATAACTATAAATAAATAAAATGTAATTTGTGTTTCCAGGTTTGTGTTCATCCTTTGACAACTAAAGGGGTATCTACAGAGAAAGCATCATTTCTCAAACCAAAGACCCCATCTGGACCTGTGGGCACCAGCAAGCTGTAAATGGTGGCTCTCACCAACTGCAGTGAGGCCCAGGGACTGGGGTATCCCTGAAGATGGACGCAGGCTCTTGCTTACCGAGAATGATGACGGGAATGACGTTTCTGCTCAGAACGCTATTCATTGAAAGCTTTACTTGGAGCAAACGAGGGAATAGCTAGAAAACGAGAGAGACAAATCATTATTGCGTGGGACCAGCAGAGAGCTGGTGTCAACCTAGTTCCTGTTACAGGGCAGGACCCTGCAAGTGTCTCCACATATTTCTTGTTTTAATTCCTGCAACACTGAAGTGCTTTCCCTGATCATCAGAGGAACGCTTAGAGATTTAGGCTACAGAACGTGTCCAGAGTCACTAAGATGTTAAGAATTTGACCCAAGAGGTGAACCCAGGCTCACCAGACTCTGAAGTCTACATTCACTCATTACAGTATCCTGACATTAAAAGCAACACATAATTTGTATAACATGTTTACAAACATGACATTATTCTTTTTTTTGGTCGCATAGTTTTGCATATGGGATCTTAGTTCCCTGACCTAAGGGAACTACACCCCCTGCAGTGGAAGTTCAGAGTCTTAACCACTGGAGCACCAGTCAAGTCCCCTGAATTAATTTTTTTAAAGAAAGATAACAGTACTGAGTCCATGCCTAGAAACTTAGAAAAAAAAAAATCACATAATTTTGGGGTTATAGGATTACAGGTAACTTTGATTTTCTTCTTTATGTCTTAATCATACTTTCTAAATTCAGTTAGAACATAAAATTTTGATTCTGAGGAGTAAAAGATTTGACACATTTTAAAAATACATACGCCCAAAAAAGTTGAAGATACAATCACTCCTGCACCTAGTAATAAGCTCTCATGTGCACGACGATCCTAGGGAAAAACAAAGGTTCATATTTAGCAAATGCCACAGTTCTACCCAGGAAAGATAATTCCAACAAACACACAAAATCGCCAAAAGAAACACTGTGAAACTGCATGGGCTCTGGGCCTCGTGATACTCACATAACTTGCATTTCCATTGACGATGTTGAAGACTGTACTGTAGGTGTAGAAGGAGGCCTACAGGAAGACAGAGGCTAACACGTCACATTTTGGTTTCAAGTTCAACAAAATTCAATGATTCTGAAATAGAAAGAACTGCTACCTGAGGTAAAATCATGGACTTCAGACTTTTCACCGGCAGCATTGACAGAAATAGCTGTAAAGAAAGTAAAGCAGATACAGACTACTATATATAAAATAAACAAGGACCTACTGTGTAGACAGGGAACTATACCCAATCTTGTGATAACCTATGATGGAAAAGAATCTGAGAAAGAATACATATAAAATGAATCACTCTGTGGTAAACCTGGAACACTGTAAATGAAGTATACTTCAATTCAAGAAAATAAAGCAGAGCTGAGAGCGTCTTGGGCGGGAGGGAAGGCTTGTGGCACACAGAACCTCCCCAGGGAGTTGTAGAACTGAGTCCCCAAGAGCAGGGGCAAGAAGCGGAAGATGTGGATGCCTGGGGCTAGTGGCCCGTGGACAGGTGGTGTTGGATGGGCCCCCATGGGCAGTGAGAGCCCAGGGGTGCTTCACACTGGTCCCCGTCTCCAGACATGCAATCGAGCAGGGTGGCTGAGAAGCGTCATTTTAATTTATTTTAAATTAAACTTGCAGGGGGCAGAGCCAAGGTGGGCAGCTTCACTGCGGGTGATTCTGGGTCCCAGGGGAGGGCCTGCCTGATTGGCGGGGAGGGGGCTTGGGGAGAGGAGGTGATAGCCAGTGACATGGGCCTGTGCCATGGAGTATGTCCTAACTCATCAACCTCCTCCTCAGCGCTTGGCACATGGTAGGTATTCAAAGAAAGGGTTACCTTGCGACACTGTGTATCCTCAACAGGCCCTGATGCCCGGGGGGATCAGTAGGGGTGGGGTGTGGACGAGGGTCAGAGGTGAGAGGTCCTAACCATCTATCAGGCAGTCACGGGACAGGGGCCCAGAGCTTAGGAGATGGATGGACGTCCTCCTGACCCCTTGGCTTCTTAGTGGTGAATGGCAGCTTACTCACCGTGGGTGCCGTGAAAGGCAGGAGAGCTGGCAAGAAAGACAAGAGGGTCAGTGATGGCAGAGAGGGTGGAAAACCACCTACCCTGAAGCCTCTTCTCAGGCATGGGAGTCAAAGGATATTTTTTACGCACTTTTCTTTCTAATAAAAATAATAACTACATGCATAAGGCAAAACTTAAAACCAGCACAGCAGAGGAAGACCTGACCAGGCTTTCTCTCATTGAGGGTAAGTGGTCACTTGTTGCAAATCTTTGTTCATCCTTCTAGGTGAATTCAATACATCTGTGACACTGTGACTTATAACAAGACACACGTATTTGCTCTTCATCCCTATCCCTGGCCCAGAGATCCTAAAACCCTTGAAATTTCCTAAGTGAGAAGGGCGATAAAGGTAAAAGGAGTGTCTCTTATTCTTTTCTTTAAAATTTATTTGGCTGCACCAGGTCTTAGCTGTGGCACACAGGATCTAGTTCCCTGGTTGAGGATCGAACCTGGGCCTCCTGCATTGAGAGCACAGAGTCTTGGCCACTGGACCACCCAGGAAGTCCCAAGTGCCTCTCGTTCTTCAAAGCAAGCCCCTTTCAACCACACCTGAGATAATGTCAATACGGTGACTTTGGGAAAGCACCGAAGGATGGGGCTGGTTGCCAGGGGAACCAACCACATGACTTGGAGGGAGGCAAGGTTTTCTAAAGGTTACAAACCACTTGTGAAAATTAGAATCAACTCACCTGCAGGTCGAAAAGGACCAGGGATTAGCCTGCTATTGTCAGGATGCACTGTGGACTTCAGAAGGGTAAACACAAAGGTGAGTCTGATGTTTGGTTTTGTTATTTTAGGCTAAAAATTAGGATGGGGCTGAAACTTACAAGACTTCTCTTCCAAGCTTCTTGTATCTAAAAAGAGAAAGACCAAGCAATAGTTTTTAAAGGTGGCCCGGCAGCCAAAATAGCTCCTCTCCAGTTTCATTTGTGGTACCACCTTTGCTCCACCTTTCAGGGAGTGAAGGGTGAACTGTTTTCTACCACGGGGGCAGAGCAGATCAAAACAAGTAAATCAAATGAATGAACTAACAAGAAGCAAAAAGAAGAGCCACACGAAAATGACCAAAACATTAAAAAGGCCCCCAAGTTTGTGACTTTGAAGAGGCCAACATCTAACTTGCCCCTTGGGGGAGTCCTTGAATGCCGCCAGCCTCCCCCGGCTCAGAGCAGAGCAGGCTGTGTGCAAACCACACTATTAGCCAAGTGACTGTAAGAGAGCCAGGTGTGAGTTCAGAGGCCCCAACAAGTTCTTAGAAAAACCAAGTTAAACACGCGAGCTTTCTGCAGGCTGCCTCAAGGGATTGATGTTTGTGGGCTCTGGAAAGCCCCATTCGCTGCAAGGTAGATAACAAACACTGGGCTTAAGTCTTTGGGCAGGGGCTGTAACCCCGCCCCGTAACACTGCTTCTAACAGGGAGCATATTCTGACTTCAGAGGCCTGCGAGAATTCTGGAATTTGCCATGGGGCTCAGGAGTCAGCTACAGAGATAGATACTGTAACTGCCAATCTCTGTTGCACAGGAAGAACCCTATGCTTTTTTCCCTTAATACTAGTTCCTAACAGTAGTAACTCATATTCATCTGGCTTACAAGAAGGAATCCTAACTATATTTTAAAAGCTAACCCAACTGAGCAGTGTTTACAATGCCAAAATACCACCTGATTTCAGACCATGCAGTTAGAATCACCTGAAGGCACCCAAGCCCAGCTTTGAGCCAAGCACACCTGGGAACAAGAAACATACCCTTTTGTCCTCAAAGTCACCTCTGGATGCATCTTCATTTGTTAACAAGAGTTGCCTCGATTTTTCTATTTTTTCCTACAATTAGATATAAAGAAATCAAGCAATGATCTCAACTTCAGATTTATCCACAGATTTAAGAATCACATGCTTACTAACACCTGATTTCAATTTTTTTTTTTTTTAACTTCTCCAAGAGGCTTGCAGGATCTTAATTCTTGACCAGGGATTGAACCCACACTCTCAGTATTCCACTGCATGAATATACTATTTTATATTTTTGTATTTACCTACTGATGTGCATTCAGCTTGTTTCCTGTTTTTCTCTATTATAAACAAAATGACAGGAAACATTTATTTGAGCACAAAGATGGGAGTGTCCCTGTGGATCTGGCTGTAAGTGTCATTGCTGGTCTCTCACGAAGGGTTTCTCTTCCTCTTCATCCCTTAGCCACACCTGGTTCAAACTCTCATCTTTCACTTAGATAACTGAGTTATCCCCTGAACTGATCATAGTCTGGGTCCCTGTGGTTACTTGTCAGATGGCTAAGTAAAAATCCCTCTTGTCTGAATGATACACAAGGACCTTCCAGAACTGTCTGGTTCCCCCGAGTTAAAAGACCCAGTATTGGGTGACCTGGCCCCTGCCCCCCTCCCCTTTGCTCACAGTCCTGTCTTCCTAACAGTTCCTCCCTGGCCCACCCTCCCTCCCTCCCAGCCTTCTTTAAATAACCTCCCCCAATTCCCTGCTACACCTTGCCCTTGGAGCCCTGAGTCAAGGTCTGAGACTAGCTTTGCTAGTCTGTCCTCCATCACCAGGGAGATTTGTTTTGATTCCCTTTGAAACCACCAGTACCAGGCCCAGGGTTTGGTTGGTTGGTGTTGTTTAGTTGCTAAGTCATGTCCAACTCTTTTGTGGCCCCAGGGACTGTAGCCTGCCAGGCTTCTCTGTCCATGGGATTTTCTAGGCAAGAATACTGGAGTGGGTTGCCACTTCTCCAGGGGATCTTCCAAACCCAGGAATCGAACCTGTGTCTCCTGCATTGCAGGTGGATTGTCTACCAGTGAGTCACTCACCTAGGAAGCCAGGATTTGGTACTACCTGTTAAATGGATTGCTCTTATGTAGCAACCTTCCAATCTCAAGTTCATTCACAAGAAATAAAAACATGATACTATACATGGATTCTGCTATTTCAACTGCTTTGAAAAGAGACACACAGCCTTCACATTTCAGAATAAAATGTGAAATTCACTATTTCTGAAAACAAGAAAATACTTACAATTGAAAGGACCAAATTCGTAGGATCCAACAAGTCTGTCCACTGAAGAACTCTTTGAATAAAAGACTTGAGAGGGGCAGGAGCACCAGAGAGGTTAATGGCAGCAGAAAAACAAAAACAGGTAATAATAACAGTTAACAATATTTTTAGAACCTCATAGGGCCTTCTCCTTGCAGCATCTGCTAGAATCCTCACAACATCCCCATCCTACAGGTGAAGACACTGAAGTTTCCAAGGGCTCATGAATGTACCCAAGGAAGCCCAACCAGGAAATGACCCAATGGCCTGTGCTCTTCACCTCAAATTGCTGTTGAGGGTTACAAGCCCAGACTCTGGGGTCAAATGGACCTATGTTCACACCCCACATATCACCTTGAAGCACTGCCTAGAAAGGTCTCAATCCTTCTAGATTCCTAGAAAGGAATCTGTTTCTTCACACCCCTTGGGTGGTTACAAGGCTTGCATGCGTGCTCAGTCATGTTGTTAAAACCCTAAGGACTGTAGCGCGCCAGGCTCCTCTGTCCATGGGATTCTCCAGGCAAGACCACTGGAGTGAGTTGCCATTCCCTTATCCAGGGGGTCTTCCTGATGCAGGGATCGAACCGGAGTCTCCTGCATTGCAGCAGATTCTCTACCAAAGCCACCTGCGAAGACCGGTTATAAGGCTTAACTCCAGTCACAAAGAACTGGATACTCCAGTGAAGGCTCAATACAGGCAGTTTGGTTCACATGTGGAGAAAGAAGGCCTGGTTTGCTCCCTAAAGCCCCCAAACTTTGCAGTGATTCCCGCTGAGAGGCCTGGCTCTGCTAGGACAACTTGAGTTCCCTGTCCTTGACTTTCCCACCTAAGATAACCGAGCGAGGCTCTGCTCTAGGTCAAGGCGGAAAGAAAACACTCTAGAAACGTGCTGTCCAATTAACCACAAGTGGCCAGGCCAATTTCAGATGTGCTGTATGTGGAAACCATACATAAAGACTTCCTACAGAAAAGGATGCAAGAAATCTCATTTATAATTTTTATACCGATTACATGTTGAAATGTTAATATTTTGTTTCTACTGAGCTAAATGCAATATATTATTAAAATTAAAATGTGAAAAGTCATATATTTTTAATGTGACTACTAGAAAATTTGGAATTACCCACGTGGCTCCATATTACTTCTATCGGACAGCGCCTCCCGGCCACTGCCTGGAGGCGGGGCTTCCCGCAGCCCTGAATCTCACGGTCGGGCGGCTGAGCCTACAGACTCCTGGGGAGGACCCGTTTTGTGCCTCTCCAGCCTGGTGCTCAGCAGCAGCCTAGGCAGCAGAAGCAGACCCCTGAGGGGTGCGGAGTGACTCCTGGTTTGTGCGATCTGCAGGGTGACACTGTGTTACCTACCCTCCCTAGCCAAGCCTGCGGCAGAGGCGACGCACGCTAACAGCCGTGGCCGTCGGCATCCTGCAAGCCTGGCTTTCCTTTCGTTCCCTCCTGGGGTCTGAGACGGGAAGGTGGGTGCTGCGACCACGTGGCCTGCCCAAGGTCACGGCGGCCAGCGGCGACTCCAGGCCGCGCGGCCCGCGCCCTCCCCGCCCCCAGCCGCGCCGGGCCCGGGCCGTACTTGGCGTTCGGTGATCCAGAAGCGCACGTTGGGCTCCATGCGGGCGGCGGCGCCGCTGCACCCTGGGAGCCGCCCGGCCCCCTGCGCTTCTTCCTCCTCTTCCGGGCTCCTCTTCCTGGGACCTTAAGAGCTGCCAGGAAAGGCCGCGGCGGCCGGGCCTGGCGGGGAGGAGGAGCCGAGCGGCGAGCCCCGCCCCGGGCACGCGCGCGTCCCCTGCCCCGGCTCCCAGGCCCGCGCACCCTCGGCTCCTCCTTTCCGCCTGCGCTCTGTCCCAGCTCCCGGGTTCCCGCCCGCCTGCTGTTGCCGGGAGCCCACCTCCCCCATAGGTCAGGTCTTCCCAACCTTGTTCCTCACTTTCGGGTAGGGTGGCCGCCTCCGGGCCTAGACGGGTCGCCTATGTAAACCCCATATCACGGGACCTACAGTGGAGATCTGATCAGCGGCGCCTGGCGCCTTCCGCAGCCTCACCCTGCAGTCCTGCAGTGTCTGAAATTCCCCTAGCACAGGCTTTGTACTCTCGGAAATCTCTTCGATTGCACCGTAAGTCCAGCGTACACGGGATGGGGGATAGGACGTGCTACATAATTTGTGCGGCCCAATGGTACCTCTTTTTTGAATTTTCAAAAGTCGACTTGATAGCATTGCCCCGGGGTCCTTCTAGTTTCCCCAGCCTTGCCTCCCAGGCAGTGTCTCTGCCCAAGGGTTTCCCCCTGCGCTGGGGCAAACCCAGTTTCCTCTGCTGTACACGAGAGAGGGTAGAGACCACTTGTAGAGGAAAATGTGCCTTCCTTCGGCCTCCACCCATTTCCCCAGCACTGGGATGTGTGAGGGTTATGTGTGTTTGTGGAAGGCTGGATGTTGAGGGTGTTCAGGGGGCTCCCGAGGAGTCCCAGGTTAGGGACCTGGTGCCACGGAATACTTGTGTGGCCATGGTCGTCAGTATCTTCAAGTCTACTTTCTCATCTGTAAAATGACAATAATTGTACCTATTGTGTTTCTGTTGTGGGTCCAATGAGATAAAACATGTGAAAGCCCTAGCAGTGCTGGGTCCATAGGAAGTGCTCAGTCTGGACCACTTGCAGCCGATTGGCCTTTGCCCTCCCTTTGATTTCACCTCCAGGAACATGAAAGCAGCTCACGGTTTTCTTCAGGCCCATATGGCCTCTCAGCTCCCACAGGTCACTTTTCCGTATCTCTAAGACTTCCTCTCCTCCTCCATGAAGACTTTCTTGATGCCCATAGCCAGGTAAGGTGCTCCCCTCCTCAGTTCCCCGGAAGGCATCTATTACCATAGTATTTAGCATATCTGTATTATCCTGCTGGCTCTACTGCAAGTATGTCACAAATCCAGCCCAGCTGACCTGCTTTCCTCTCTGCACTGTTATGGGTCTAGTCTTAAGAGACGAGCCAGAGTGAGCCTCTAAGAACAAGGTGATGTAACTCTTCTCAAAACATTTTTGCCATTTCCTGTCTCAGAATAGAATCTGAAGTCCTTAGCTTGCCCATAAAGCACTCTGGGCTCCCCATTACCATTCTCCTCCTTCATGGGTCTGGTCATATTGTCCTTCAATTTTTCACCCACCCCAAGTCCACTCTTGTCTCAGGGCCTTTGCACCTGTCATTTGCTTTGCCTAGAACCTTTTTATCCCTGCAACTCCCTCACCTTCGAGGTGTTTTATCTCATTTGACACCAAAACCCCAAGGTAGGTACAGTTACAGTCATTTTGCAGATGAGAAAACAGACCTGGAGATATTGACTCCCTGAAACCCCATTAAAATACCTGTACCTCTCTGCTCTAGTCCCTTGTTCCACTTTATTGTCCTTCCAGACATTCTATGTAATGTTATTGTTTATTCCCTCTACAATGTAAGTGCAGAAAGGAAGAGGTATGTCTTTTTTGTTTGTTCTGCCTCCAAAATAGTACCTAGCATATAGTAGGCACTACAGGATGTGACTGTAGCTTGCCAGGCTCCTCAGTCCATGGAATTCTCCAGGCAAGAATACTGGAGTGGATAGTCATTCCCTTCTCTAGGGGATCTTTCCAACCCAGGGGCTGAACCCAGGTCTCCCACATAATAGGCAGATTCTTTACGGTCTGAGAAACCAGGGAAGCCATTAAAATGAATAAATGCTTTCATATTTCTTTTGTCCAGTTCCTTGGGTGTGGAGCCAGCATCTTATTCATCTTTGTAGCCACTGAGTTAAATGCTCAATAAATGTCTGTTGGTATAATCAGAGAAGGAAAACTAGAGAGCCCCACAATATAAGTAAGCTGAAGCAAGAATTAATGGTGTTAAAAAGGCAAGTATTTTAAAATATGTTTATTTTTTATTATATTTTTTAGATGGAACACTTCAAGAAAAAATAATTACAATAATTCAAATGCAAGAATGATTCAAATTCATACTGCAATACCTGGATTCAATAAATATCCTTTCTAATTATACCCAATCAATATTAGAAATGTATGTAGACACTAAGCCAGCTAACAAAGTAAGTAAAATAACTATATAAACTATAAATCTCAGGAATGGGGAACATGCATGATCAGTTAAGTCACTTTGCCACTGTGTTGTTTTTTTTTTAAAAAAAAACATGATTCACATTTCCTTCAACCATACACACATTCATTCCAAGTGTTAAATCAGACCACTAATACTGACAACCTAAAACTATGGTCTTTAAAGAAAATTCAGTTTAATACAAAGAAATTCAAGAGGAAAATTTCAGGACCCTTGATCAGAAGTTTTCAATACCTGTCATACTACTCTGGTATACACAAAGGTTCAAGTAAGGCTGAGGAAAAAGATCTGTTTCCTTTTCCTACTGAAGACATGATCCAAGAAATAGGTGAACTACACACTCTAGAAACTAGCCATCCATCCATACCTTGCCCTGGACTCATTACATTAGTAACTGAAAATGTTTTAAAAGCCTTGGCCAACATTACAAAAACAAACCATTTAGAGTAATACTATTTATGAATACAAGCATCATTGGGTTTTTTTTTTTTGCTTTCTATAAATACTAATCTTTGAAAAGCTACAAGTGAGTTCCCACTGTGGTTCTTTTCTGGTGTGGGAAGCTTCAGGTATGCACGGGATGGTCTACTGATTTACCTTCTCAAAGTATTCTCTGGAAGCAGTTGGATGGGGCTTGATCTGAAAATACAAAAACATTTCACTGGGTAAGTGACTTTATGATCTCAAAAGGGGGCTGAAGGCCCTCAATTTTTAACCTACAGTTATTTAACTTTTAAAAGATTGGTCTGTTTCCTGTAAAACACATGGATGAAACTGACATGAACAGCCTGCCTGGGGCCTGGTCCCACCCCCACCCGCAGCAGCTTCATGCATTTGCACACCACCTCCACCCTTGCTCCAACGTGGATATTCCAGGCCAGCAGCCCTTGAGGCAGTGAGGACCTGGGACCCTCTTGGCTGGGCTCCCATTGCTTTTGGGAAAGAAACCTACTGTAGGAGACTCGGGTGTCCAGTTGGCCGGGCAGACTTCTCCATGGGTTTCCACAAACTGGAACGCCTTCACCAAGCGGAGGGTCTCTTCCACGCTTCGGCCCACTGGGAGATCATTGACGCTCAGATGCTTGATGACTCCGTTGGGGTCAATTATGAAGAGACCGCTGCATAAAGATTCACTCTCATCAGAGTGTCAACATTACCAGAGCTAGAAAGACTCTACTTCTACCCTGCCTTTAATTCTCCTTGATAGAGCATTTATTAAACTCTATCATGTGCTTAAAAATCAGGTTTTCCTTATACAGAAAGCTTATCATCTCTTATTGATGACAGGTGCTTTAACAAAGATAGAACTGGACTAGGCCACCACAGAAAACAGGCAGTGTGTTCACATTCACAGATGTGACCTGGATGTCTCATAGTATCTGAAGGTCACTGAACTACACAGAGCAGACTTCTCATTAGTGATGCAGTAAGCATTCTTTGGGCAGCTGTATCAAATCTTGGCAAGAAACCATAGGCGACTGAGAAGGAACAGAGATGTATTTTATCTGTATTCTGTAAATACTTATGAGTGAATTGAGTAGTGGGGAGAAAATCCCATGGGAAAATTTACTGGCCTTAAGTCTAGGCAGAGTAGAAATCTAAAGGAAAAACAATCCCATCTCTTTTATTTTGGGCTACCCTGAGGTACAGTTTGTAAAGGAAAGACAGAATGACTGCTTAGTACTCTTCCATTATTAAGTTTTCAAAATAATGAACTGGTTTCCTGGAATTCTTCGAATCTTGGATTTAAATATATTTGATGTGTTTCAATCACTGACGGTTCTTATTTTGATCCACAGATTGTCCAAGTGTCCCATCACTATCACTTAGCAGCAATGTAAAGAGGTAACCCACCACCCTGGGGTTTGTGCTTATCTTCTGTACAAGGAAGGGTGATCCTCTGACTTACCCAGAGGTCATAAAACTCAAGAGGTTTTTACCAGTTAATCTTTAAAAGGGTGTGGTATCCCAAACGTTGATCACTCAGGAAAAAGGCAAGTTAGAAAAAACTCAGAAGATAAAAAGGTGGTTCTCCCTCCCTGGGCCTGGCCTTAGGGGGTCTAGGCTCTGAGGCTAAGGGGGTCCCGGTGCAAGTTCCTGAAGGGTGTAGACAAGGTGGAGTCCACAGTGCAGATGCGGAAACAGAGAGCTGGGTTGGAGATGGGCCTGCAGCACAGTCTCCAGAAAGAAAGGCTTATCTTACAAGCCAGACTGACTCCTCTCCCTTTTGTCAGTCCTAACAGAGAAACTAGTAGGGAGGTAACTACAAACTGAGTGAGACTATACAGGGGATTCTGGGAGGAAAACATCAGGACTCTTCTCCTTCCCTTGCCAATGCTGTCAGAGCTAGGCTTCCACTTATTATAGGCAGGCAGTAATCTCCTTGGAGTCAAAAGGCCCAAGTTCCCAGGTGGCTTCTGGAGCCAAAATTCCAGCGTACCCTGAGCAGGCTGGAGATCAGCTACGACGGTGGGCAGGTGACGGGTTCAAGCCAGCCCCTGACAAAACTGTGAGGCCCATCCAAGTGGGATCCTCGCTTGTGTCCTGGAGGTCAAGTTCTGCCCCGTCCCTCCTTCATCAGTAGCCATCATGATGCCTAAGTTCTCCTCCCTCCCAGGAAGGCTGACGGCCTGGGATGGGGCTCACAGCAGCTCCGAGGACCTGTGCCGCAAACTCTGTAGCTGCCTCACCTTACTCAATGTTCACAACCAACCCGTGAGGTACACTCTCATTTTAATTATGGGGAGAAAGGGACTCGAAGAGGTTAAATATCTCTTGCTCAAAGTCATACTGCTATTGAGCAGCTGAGCTTAAAAAAATAAATTCAAACCCTGGTCCGGTTCTAGCACTTGTACAAGATACTATCCACACCAGGAAACTGACTCCTACCCTTGCTGGCCCCCTCTGCCCCCCACCCCCTATCTCCAAGCAGTCTGAAGGCTTCACTGCGAGGAGTGGCTCCCATGTGGTCAGGGAGAGTGAAGCAGTGTGACCATTAAGACGTGGTATTGGAGACTTCCCTGGTGGTCCAGTGGCTAAGACTCTGTGCTCCCCAATGCAGAGGGCCCTGGTTCGATCCCTGGTCAAGGAACTAGATCCTGTGTGCTGCCACTAAGAGCTGGTGCAACCAAATAAAATAAATATATATTTTTTTAAAGGGTACAATATCCTTCTTCAGAAACAGGCCCAGGGAGACGCAGGGGGCACACATATCACAGTCATTTCTGAAAGACTGCCAATCCTCGCAGGAGGCATCCACTGATGCTTATTACAATAAAAGACAAATGAAGGGTTTGGGGTTCTAAAAATTCCCTACCCAGGTTTCTGTAAATTCCCTATGAAGTATGATAACGCTAAACACAAAAAACAATTTTAAGTTCATACAAAACAGATCTTACCGTAGCGCAAGGCCTGGACCTTCTAACAGCACGCCGTAGTCTCGGGAAATCTGTTTGGTCAAATCTGACAAGAGTGCGATGTTCATATGGCCCAAACCGCCATTCTGATAAAAATACAAACAGGGCTGGTGGTTACACTGTGGCTCCCACAGCCCCCTCAGCCAGGTGACAGGGCGACTGACCAACACCAGCCAGACGGCAGTAACTGAGCACAGCGGGCCGAGCGCTGCGCTAAGCTCTTTCTACTGCCTCCCATCCCCCTCCAGCTCCCTGGAGCAGCTACTAGCATCATCGCCATTCTACAGATGACAAAACTGAGGCGCACACAGGTTGAGTAACTTGCTCCAGGTCCCAGCTAGAAAGGGGCAGAGGCAGGATTTAAACCCAGCGAATACTATAGACTTTTCTTTTTCTAATTCTTAAAGTATCCTTTTGGTTGAAGATTCATTTCTGAAGCAAAAAGGTGGAATAATTTTTTTTAAAAAAAGAATACTTTGAATTATTTGATAGTCCAGCATTATAGCTAGAAATTGATTCTCCCAAGCAAATTTTTAGGCAAGAATACTGATCATGCAGAAGAGTAAAACCAGAGAACTTAACCACTGTCCCACGTGCCTCGCAGGGTACGGGGATCTACCGGGTCCAGGTGAGGGGAGACAATGGAGTCCGGCTCTCCGTTATTGTTTGGAAAACTCAGGTGTACTGAGGAGTAAATACATGCCGTGTTACAGGAGACATGGATAGAGCTTAACAGAATCTGCTAGTAGTTTAGGACTGACGGATAGCCCATTTCAGACTAGTCATGCTTTAACAACTTCGATCTTGGTCTTTCATGGGATCTGGCAGTTTTTTGAGATCACCAGTGCAGAGGCGGTGTGGATATGTGTATACCTTCCTCGGCGTGTTTATCCAGGCCAGGTGGCTGAAGTGGGAATCCACCGACACTGCAACGACTTCACAGTTCACATCATGAAATTCATTGGCTTTGTCACTGAAAGCAATAATTTCTGTAGGACACACAAAGGTGCTAGAAAAAAGGGCAGGAATTCTCATCAGAGAATGTTTTTTAAAAGACTTTTAAAATCTGAACAACAGTTGTCTAAAGAGTAGTTCTATTTTCTTAAAGGAGAAAAAGGCAAAAGGGTTAATCATCCCCAGTGAACTCCTGGTCACAATGATACTCCAGTTTAAAAAAAACCACCACTAACTTTCTATTTTAAGAATCATATCAAAAAATAGGGGTGGGGGAGGCACACTCCAAGAATAAAGACAGAATTTTATTAAATAAGTAGCTTCATGAGAAAATTCATTTTATCATCCTTACTTTTCTTATCTCCCCCAGAGCAGTGTAAACTTCCTCCCTGACGGGCTTACAGGCACCACTACCCCAGAGTGGAACGCGGGCTCGAGGCTCGTGGGGTCAGGAGTGCAGCTCCCGGGCTACAGGGCCGTAAGACAAGAGCCACAGGGCTTCTCTGGCGGTCCAGTGGGTAGGAATCTCCTTGCAGTGCAAGGGACGCAGGTTCGACCCCTGATCCCAGAAGATTCCACATGCCCCAGAGCAACTAAGCCCGTCCACCGCAACCACTGAGCCTGAGCTCTAGAACCCAGGAGCCACAACTACTCGGCCCACGTTCTGCAACTACTGAAGCCCCATGTGCCCTAGAGCTCGTGCTCCGCAACAAGAGAAGCCACTGCAATGAGGAGCCCCGCTCACCACAACTAGAGAAAGCCCACGTGCAGCAACTAAGTCCCACTACAGCCAATAAACAAATACACACATCTTTAAAAAAAAAAGCCATATTAAAACCCATTAAAAGGAATACCACTCCACCCCCTATACTTAGCACTTGTGAATTAACTACAGATGCAAACTGTATCAACAAGACCATCAGTGATAAGAGTCAGCAATAACCCTCCCCTTGACAAGAGTAAAGATAGGCCGTGTCAGTGGGAAGGCAGCGATCTTTGCTTGCTCCCAGAATGATGTTGCAGCATCACAGAAAATACACTTACAAATCCAAAGGATAGAAGAAGAGCACTAAATATTTCCCTTTAAAGTCATCAAGGCTAATTTCTTTGAACTCTCCGCTGACAACAGCCGTGCCCTTAAAATAGGGTGCATGCTGGGTGACGGCGGGGGCATGGTGTGAGGAACCTGAAAAATACCCCAAAAACATGCATATAGAGTTCATTCGTTAAACCAGCCACTTCTCTGATTTTACTCAAACCTCTCCCAGTAATTAGTCAGTAGTATAATTTAAAGGTTCAGTTCAATTGTACATCTTACAAAACTGTTTCTCTTTCCATAGGTTTAGACTGTACCCTAATTCAAAGTGCTATGGAAACTAAAGAGACAGGAGGGAATTCCCTGGCAGTCCAGTGGTTAAGACTCAGCTCCTGCTTCAGGGGACACCAGTGTGCTCCCTAGTCGGGAAACTAAGATCCCACATGCCGTAAGGTGCGGCCAAGAGGCAAACAAATAAATAAAAGAAGACAGGAGAGAGTAGGGATGGAGGAACATAGAATTAAGGACCAATGAGCCTGAAGGTGGGTTCTAAGCATGGTCTGGATTGTTGCCAAGACCAGGGCGGATGGCACAAAGGAAGGAACACAACAGGTGTGGGGAATGGCCTGTAGCAGAGTTTGCTTGACACAGAGAACAGGTGTGCACAGAAGGAAGATGCATGGGGGAGAGAGCAAGGACGGTGGAAGGCCGCGCTGAGAGGGCCCTTGTATATCAGACGGATGGGTCTGTTCTTAAAAGGAGAGATATAGGAATCACTGGAGGCTTCTGTGCAGGAGATGGGTGATGCGCTGGCTGTTCTTAGGAAGATTAGTCGGGCAGGGGAGAGTGAGAGGAGCAGGGAGAGCCTGATGTCAGGAGGTGACTGCAGCTATCTGAGCGAGCGGTGAGGCAGGCAAGGTACGGCAGAGGGGACAGAAAGAAAGGAAAGGATGCAAGAGCTGTGTCAGGACTACTGAGGCCAGGCTTCAGGCTGGGAAGGCGGGACAAAGGAGGCCAGGTGTCAAGATGCCTGGCTCCAGAAAGAGGAGGAGCTACTGGGAGCTGGGGTTTGGGACAGGTGAAAAGGAAAGTTAAACTCCTGTCATCAAGTTGATACTAGAAACTTCTTACAGCTCCAAGAAAATTGTAAATTTTTTTAGAACACTTACCAACAAACAAAGGTTTTGCTAAAGTACACCCCCCACCCCCACCACCATTACAAGTTAAATAGTCTTTTTTTAAAGGTGGGACAAACAAAAAGGAGGCCTTTCCAAATGCCACTCATTATCTGCAGCTGTGCCGAGCAAATCTCATATTTTAGAATGGAGTATAAATCTCAAGAAACAGCTGTGTGTCATTCAGATCACGGAGGAGTCCAACAGACTGGCCTAACGTGGCCATGTGGAGCCAGGCCACAGGTCTGAATCCAAAAGCCTTGAGTAGCTGCACCGTCCGTCCCTGGTCAGCTCATATCCTTCACACACAGCAGGCCCAGGCACCTCTGGCTGTCCCCACCCCTCCTTCATGTTCCTCGACCCAGGGGATTAAAACCTCTGGAGTCACCAAGGAAATGTGACACTCGGGCAGTCTGCCTCAGTGAGTCGCAACCCTTGGGTGCACATGAGAAACACTTGGTGAGCTTTAAAAAAAATTTGATGTTCTGGTCCCACCCCGGAGATTGACTTAATTTGTTTGGGGTGGGACTAGGAAAGTGGTACGATAGCAAAAACTCCCCACATGAGTCTAATATATGGCCATAGTTCAGAACTCCTGTTCAGAGATGATAAATGTTTCCATTATCTGGTCCAAACCAAAGCATAACAACACTTACTGGTGCTAAAGGCGAATTTTGCTTGATCAGAACCAGACCACAAGGCATTTGTCAAGCACATTCTTCGAGAAGCAGCGGGCCTAAGGGCTGCAGAGGCTGAAATGCCCCAAGGAATGGCACTCACACGTCGGGCGAGCTAAAAAGAAACACTTTATATCAGAACGTATTCCCAGAATGGCAGCTGAAACCCTGCTGAAAGGGCATCAGGCCACTAGTGGCCTCCGATGGCCTTGTTCCCATGAACAAAAACTCCAAACTGCAAAAGCATGGATTGAGTCTACATGTTCTTAAAATTCCCTTCTGCTTCCTTATCCTTTAAGACTGTAAGGAGACTAGGAAGACAGGGAGATGTTGGTCAAAGGGTACAAAGTTGCAGTTATGGAGGATGAATAAGTCTAGAGCTCTAATGTACAAGCATGTTGACTATACTTAATAATACTGTATTGAAGTTGAAAATGAGAGTATTATTATTCTAAGAGAGTAGACAGGTGCACTCATCACACACACAAAGGCTACCCATGTGAAGAGATGTTAATTAGTTTGACTATAGTAATTATTTCATTACTTATATCATGATGCACACTTCACATATGTAATTTTTTTTTTTTTTAAATATAGGGAATTCCCTGGAGATCCAGTGGCTGAGTGTAAATGTAATACCATATACATGTGTAAATATAATTATCGGGTTGGCCAGAAAGTTCATTTGGGTTTAACCTGAACGAACTTTTTGGCCAACTCGACACATATGTATTAATTAATGGGAAACAAAAGACTGCAAGGCAGAGGGAAATTACAAGAATGTGAAGATTCCATGCTTTTAAAAGGAACCCGGAGCACTCAGCCCAGGAGACCGGCCAGGCTCTGTATTAAGCTCTTTACCAGCAGATGTGCTGGGCATGTTCTACTATGTCAAGGTTTTCCCTTGGAAGAGACAAGGCCATGCCGGCCCACACAGAAGCAAACAAACAGAGCAAGTTCAGCCTCTGGGCTGGGTCAGACCCTTGTCCAGGGGTCAAGGGAAACGTTTGCTCAATTTCAGAGTCCACCATGACTCGGGAAGAAGGAGCCTGGGTGGAACCCCACCACGAGAAAGGGGAGGGCGGGCAGCCAAGAGCCTCAGGCACTCCAGGACTTTGGTTACTTTAGCATTTTGGTGTCCATCCAGCATTTAAGGGGATGCCACGGAAACCCTTGAGGTAGGTAGTCCATGCTAAGGTAAGGAAGTTATCTGAGGTTCGGAAAAGAAAACAATGGCCCAAGGTCATAGAGTCAGTTATAGAATCGGGACCAGGGGACAGGTCGCCTGCATCCAGAGCCAGGTGCTTAAGCAGGGGACAGGAGACTGGATAGCGGCCCACGACTGGGAGCGAAGAGGGATTTGGAAACTGGAATGCAAGGCGGGGGGTGGGGGGTTGGGTGGGCGAAGAGCGGCTCTGCGCAGGCGCGGGGAGCCTGCCTTGGAGGAGGCGGCCCCTGGTCCACTTCCCTCTGACATCCTCCAAGGGTGAAAGACCCCCAGGCCAAGGGAAGCGGTATCCCACTTGGGAAGCACGTTCTCGGAGCCACCGCAGGGTCTAGGTGCCTGTGCCCCGCAAGCAACCACTCACCGAAGCCCGGAACAACCTTCCCGCCGCGGCCGCCATCTTCGGTGCGCAGGGGACAGCGGGGCCAACAGAGACGCAGAGGGGGCGGGGCCTACGGGGGCGTGGCCAGGGCGTGGCCTCGGCGGACAGGGGCCGGCCCGCGCCGGAGCTGGGGCTTGGAAGAGCTACGACCTTCGGGGCCCTCCGCCTGGTACACGTCTCGGTTGTGGGGTCGCTCGATCCCACCCAGAGGAGGATTAAGTCCTGTTAAAACTCCTAAGTAGCTTCATGCTTGGGAAATTGATACTTTGTGTCTGTCGCCCCAGCCTAAAAAGGTCCAATCCAGGGTGGGAAGATAGATATTTCCATATTGGCTACTGATTTAAGAACTGACTCATTTGGAAAGACCCCGATGCTGGGAAAGATTGAAGGCAGGAGAAGGGGACGACAGAGGATGAGATGGTTGGATGGCATCACTGACTTGATGGACATGAGTTTGAGCAAGCTCCGGGAGTTGGTGATGCACAGAAAAGCTTGGCGTGTTGCAGTCCATGGGGTCGGAAAAAGTCGGACACGATTGAGCGACTGAACTGACTGAACTGTGAACCTGTGGATTACTGTTAGTGTAAAAGGCTCCCTTTCCTATTTTGGCCTGAGGTAGAGACTTCTGGCTACTAGATGAAATGTAATTAATCATGAATGCAATTTCAGGGACTTCTCAGTGGCTGAGACTTGGTGATCCCAGTGCAGGGGCTGGGGGTTCCATCTGGAGTCAGGGAACTAGAGCCTACATGACTCAACCAAGAGTTTGCATGCTGCAACTAAGATTCGGTGCAGTCAAATAAATAATAAATGTTCTTTTAAAAATCATTAATGCAGTTTTTCTGTTAGTAAGCCAAGTTGAAGAAGGAAATGGCAACCCACTCCAGTTTTCTTATCTGGAGAATCCCATCGACAGAGGAGCCTGGCAGGCTGCAGTCCATGGGGCTGCAAGAGTCGGACACATCTTAGCAACTAAACCACCACCACCAATAAGCCAAGTGGGTCAGACACATCAAGATTTTGTTGTCCTGAAAAATATTTGGGATGATGTGTGGGCTTCCATTTTGGCTTCTCTTGCCAAAATTGGGAGAATTAAGACATATTTAACATTTATTTTTGGTTGATTAGTAAAGCCAAGTGCTCAGTGGTGAGCACGGTACCTTGAAGCATGTTCATCAAACATGATAAAAATCAAGTAAGTGTGATAAAATGTAGATCCAAAGTGGATATTTTCCAAACTGGGTTGGTGGGTATGGAACCAAACGACACAACCTAGACAAAGATCAGGAAAGGGAAGGATTTATTACTTGCAACAAATAAGACTTTTTTTTTAATATTTCTTTGGCTGTGCCATGTCTTAGTTGTGGCACACAGTATCTTCCATCTTCATTGAGACATTCAAACTCTTAGCAACGGCCTATGGGATCTATCTAGTTCCCTGACCAGGGATCGAACCTGGTTCCCCTGCCTTGGGAGTGCAGAGTCTTAGCAACTGGATCACTGGGGAAGTCCTAAGTAAGGAGATATTTTCCAAAGCATTGTCATGTTAAATAGCAAAATTAGGGAAGTTTCAAGCTAAGGGTATGTGGGTATGCATGAAGGGGCTTGGGTGGTAGATAGAATCCAAGCTTTAGTTGATTGAAATTACGAGGGTCAGAAAAGGTCAGTATCATTCATCACTTAGGTTCCAGTTGATCTGGTGGTTGAACACTTCAGGCCAATCTTTATCATTGAAACAGACTTGGAAGTGTTTATAACTGAAGTATCCTTGCTATAGTTACTTCTATTGCCTGATAAAGTCATTTGCTTCTGCATTCTTTTGTTCCCTTTAGATCATAAATTACTAAGACCTGTTCAAGGACAGCACTGTGGCCAGCCTTAGATCACAAAAATAGCTTAGGCCAAAAATGACTTTTCTTACATCAAGACAGTCATGTCTGGTTCTCTTTCTCCAGGAAACCCCTACCCTATCTGCTTATAAGTCCAACGTGCGTGCATGGTAAGTCACTTCAGTCATGTCCGACTCTTTGCAACTCTATGGACTGTAGCCCACCAGACTCCTCTGTCCATAAGATTCTCCAGGCAAGAATACTGGAGTGGGCTGCCATGCCCTCCTCCAGGGGATCTTCTGACCCAGGGATAAACACCCCCTCTCATGTCTCCTGCGTTGGCAGGTGGGCTCTTTACCATGAGTGCCACCTGGGAACCCTTACAGGCTCAATGTAGATGCCCAGTTCCCAGGTCTTTTGGCTATTGGAGACTTTTCACTGCTTATCACTTCTTTTCCAAATAGAAAGCTGAAGCAATTGCCTGTGGTTCAACAGCTTGCCTCAAGTCACACAGGGATTCACTGACTGGGGGACAATGAGAATGGAGAACTCCTCATTGGACACATTGGTCTGCTGGTGTTTGTCTAAAGCTTATCTCCCTGGTCCTAGAAAGAATGAAGTACCCTAGAATTTCCGGCCCAGAGGCCCAGAAGGAATTTCACACTAGAGCCTTTCAGTATCCTGTTCAGAAATTGCAAAGTGAGTGTCCTTCAGCTAATCTCTGGCTAGAGCCAAAGACGTCCTCTGGGAGGATGAGCAGGGTCCTCCATTTGTTCATTCCAAGAAAAGATAAGCTTAATTGGAATTGGTATTTGAGTTTTATTCTGCCAACCCTTCTCTGACTACCTCCCCCGGGGGTCGCTAGAGAAACCTCGAACGTCCCTAGAAAGCTTTTCTCATTCTCATCTATCATTCTCACTCTTGCTCCATCACGCTGGGATTCTCCATAGTCTTTTCTGGGACTTCCCTGATGGCTCAGCAGGTGAAGAATTCACCTGCAATGCAGGAGACACAGGAGACGCAGGTTCAATCCCTGGGCCGGGAAGATCCCCTGGAGTAGGAAGTAGCAACCCACTCCAGTATTCTCGTGTGAGAAATCCCATGGACAGAGGAGCTGGGTGGGCTACAGTCCATGGGGCCCCAAAGGGTCGGACACAACTCAGCGACTGAAAACACACACACACAGTTTTGTTTAGATCTTAACCACACTGTGAAGTTCATGAAGGTAAAGCTCATATATGATACACAGAAGGTAAAGTTCTGTGGTCAACCATGGTTAGGCTAGTACCTGGCTCATAACAAATGCTCAGAAAAAGTTTGTCGAACTAATGAATAAGCAGTGGTTGACATAGTGGCCAAGATGTTCTTTCCACATTCATTCAAGGCGGGAAAAAAAAAATCTCTTTATTCAGTTTTCTCTAGCTGTCACAACAAGGACATAGATTGTTCCCCTAAAGAAAAAAGACAAACTGAACTTGTCTTCATTACCAAAAGAGTAGAAAATAACTGAAATTCTCCCTTTTGAGTTTGGAAGAAGAACTTTTGGACCTAGACGAGGGAAAGACAAATGAAAAGATATATGCTACTGTTTTATGATGATTAGGAAAATACCTCCCTGGAACCACAAGTTAATATTCTGGTAACCGGGGCTGCAATTAGAGATGGCAGAGATTACTCTGGGTTTTCCTGAGTTCTTCCTTTTTCCATGGCTAAAAGCATTCATTCCCCCCCCCCTTTTTTCCTATTGACGAGGGCCCGATTCAGCTGTCTCCTGGGTTCTGGGGAAGATGCACCCTCCATGCTGAGCCATGTCCCCTGGCAAAGGCCTCTCCAGACAACCTCATCTGAATTCCCACCGCCTGACCTCACACTGCTCCGCAGCAGTGAGTAACAGATGGGGTCAACCTGTCCTCTGTTCAGAACCCCACAGATTATTTCACCTTCCTGAGCCTGAGACTTCCCATCCTGCCCCCAGCACACCTCGGCTTCCTTCTGAGCCTTTCCTGAGTCTTTCTTCTGCTATCTTTATTGCCTATCCCCAGCTATTCCCTGGAGGAGTAGTGCAGAATCCACCTGCCAATGCAGGAGACTCAAGAAACACGTGTTCAATCCCTGGGTCAGGAAAATAGCAAGTGGCAGCCCACTCCAGTATTCTTGCCTAGAAAGTTTCATGGACAGAGGAGCCTGGTGGGCAACAGTCCTTGGAGTTGCAAAGAGTCAGACACGACTCAGCATGCATGCATGCATCTATTCCCACCCCCGCCTCCTTTTTCAATAGACTATACATATATGTGTGTGTGTGTGTGTGTGTGTGTGTGTGTGTGTGTATTTTTTAATTTTTTGAATGCACTGCAGGGCACATGGGATCCAACTGATGCCCCCTGCATGGGAAGCATGGAGTCTTAACCACTGGACCGCTAGGGAAATTCTCAGTAGACTATATTTTTTAGAGCAGTTTCAGGTTCACAGCAAAATTGAGTGAAAACACAGAGACTTCCCATGTACTCTCTGGGTCCTCCCCTGCACAGCCTCCCCAATGATCTGCCAAGGTGGTGTATTTGCTACAATCCATGAACCTACACTGATAATGTCATGATCACCCTGAGTTTACATTAGGGTTCACTCTGCTGTTGTACACCCTATGGGTCTGGACAAATGTGTGCTGATGTGTATCCACCACTATAGTCTCACACAGAATAGTCCACTGCCCTAAAAATCCGCCTCCTAATTCTAGGCCACCTACCCCCTCTTTAGAGCAGTGTCTCCCAGTCAGCCTGCCAACTTCTCCACTTGGATATCTCTTACTCAGCCCAAACTCAACAAACCCAAGACCAAACTCTTGCTTTCTCTCCTCAAATCTATTCCTCACTACCTGCTCATTGCCACCGCGGCCAACCAGCACCCAAAGGATGGATGTCTTCCCTCTATGTCCAATGCCACCACCTCAGTCCAGGCCATCACCATTTTGCCCCTGGAATTTTACAGCGTCTTAGGGCCTCTTGGTGGTCAAAAAGACTTAGGTCACTTCCACAGTGTGAGGTTGTCTTTTTTTGCTGTTTTGATGTGGACCATTTAAAAAGTCTTTATTGAATTTGTTACAATATTGCTTCTGTCTTACATTTTGGTTTTCTGTCTTATGTTTCGGTTTTTTTGGTCTGGAGGCCTGGGGGATGTTAGCTTCCTGATTAG